GTATCTACTCATGTTTCTTGCTAAAAAGGAATCCTCATCAACTGCATATATGAAATCGTTCCCTTCTTTATCTAAGTATCCTGGATAGTGTGTTTGAACTGAACCAACTGATGATTCTGTCCCCCCTTTCCAAACGCAAAGAGGGTTGTCCTGTTTCTCTCTTGCAGGAAGCCCTTTTACAGTACGCTACCAGAATTGCAGATGAAGATTACGCAACTGGCAGGATACAAAATTCGTTTTGCAATAATGCGTATTTTAAAATATTTTGATTTTAGAACCGTATCTGGTATTGCAAAAAAGGCAGTTTTAATCATTCGAGGTGAAAGTTGCAATGCGTCATTAGACTGAATTCCGACAAAAATCCCTTACTTGAATAACGGATTCTCAAATGTTCAACAGTAGGATCAAGCTGTTTACGTGAACAGTAATGTTGGAAATATCAGTGCTTATAATTTCATCAAGTATCTCAGATTTTTATTATTGTAAAGAAAGCTCTTTAACCCGCCTTAATAGTATCCGCGTAAATTATGATTTCTATTAGCAATTGAGCAGAATGACAGCGCATGCAACCATCAGCCATTTCAGACCGTTGTCAAAACAGGATGTGATAGACATACACAAGATAGTCGTTAAAGCAGTCGCATAGCACAGAAATACAAAAAATCTTGAGCATAGCTAAACATATACGTCGGGTAAAACATTCGGGAATTTAAATGAGTTACAAAAGCGCTGCGAAGCGTTGCGCGCCACGCTGCAGAACGTAAGGGATCACATCTCCGCTATGGGCTGCCGACTGAAAAGCGCAGCGCTCGGCATGCGTAAGATCTGGCGCTGAGCCCTTGCCGGGTCAACAAAAAATAAGAACCGGTCGAATAAGCTAGTAGTGGCTAAACAAGGGATATACTACGGCATATAAAGACACGGTGTCTGCAGAAAATGGGTTTCCTCGAGATCGTCCACGCCGCTGTCGTTCACGAAATCACACTCTGTTGAGCAAAATCATTACGTGACGCTTGGGTATACGTGACAAAGTAATCTGTTCACTATCTTGTTGTTCCTTGACATTGCGATGTCGTCCATATGGTAGTTCTAATTTGCATCCACTGAGTGTGACCTGATATCCATTTAGTCTTCTATGTCTTATTCTCACTTTCATCTATGCAGCTGAACTTTTATAACCTCATGCTAGAAGTCGCTCAGGGCCAGCTCAGATTTCAAACCGAATTTGCCATATCGCTTTCAACAAACGTAGAATGTGCGTTGCAACGATCACACGGTCGAGAATATTGAAAACGATATCGGCAGCAACAAGTATAGATTGTGACAGCTTGTGATCACAGAAGTGGAGGATTCCAAGAGAACTTGTTGGACGCGTTTGCTCCACGCCAGAATGCGGTGTTACAATCTTCCTTGCTCTGTATTTTCTTGCTGAACCGCAGTGTCCTTGTTCCGTAGGGCTCAAATGGCACCACTTTGGATACAGATTTGATCTACTTGCTTTCACGCGACATGTTAGGCTAGCTCTCTTTGTTGTCTTTCCTGTCTATACGCGCCCTTGCGTTCCTGCGCGTCGGTACAAAATTCCCGCAAGGTCTTTTCTGGGATCGCGCGGATATTTTCTCAAGAAATATGTGAATCTTTTGTCTTGACTAGCGTTAGACACGCGCGCATGTATAGAGCACGCTTCTTCCGCCTCACAGGGCAAAAGCCAGCCTGGACCAGACAAATTGTCTTCGAAATGCTTATTACAAGTCGTTGAATGAGGAGCGTCATGCAGACTTTTGTGACACTATTCTGCATTTGGCTCGGAAGCGTGCTGATATGTTGTGTCCTTTGAAGATTTGAGATTTTAATTTAATGATACCTTGCAAATGGAGAAAATGCGGAAGCAAATTTTGTTTGTCTCCTTTCAGTAGGAGTAATTTTCAGTGCTCCTTTTAATATCCAATATTAGGAAAGTGCGTTGTTAGCATGACTGGATCCACTTTGCGTAAGTATGTTTCTAGATATCACAAAAGGTCCCAGACATGCATCATGGAATAGCTACCGAGGATCAGATCTCTCAGGAGTGGGGGAAGACTAAATCGGTGTCATGCAAGATCTGTCCCTAACCGGATCATTCCCTCTACTTAATTGAGATTTTGTCAAGCTATGTGCGTTACACTAAAAAATCCCTACAAATGTGCGGCTATAATTGAGACTTTTTCTTGTTTCTCCGGTGCGCTGTACTGAATTCTGCACTACTGAGAGTCAGAACAACGCTAGGTTGTCTCTGTTAGTTTGATGCAGCTTATGTCAAGTTATATCCACTGTTCTTTATAGATCGGGGTGACGGAAAGAATCGCAAACATGCAATCAGCCGGATGCAAAGCGTGTTAGATTAGCGCCAGATCAGCATTCATGATCAAAAGCTGGTTGATGCGTGTGGAGTTTAGCGAAAAATTAAAAGACAGGACAGCCCCCTCTATTTTCCTCTTCATTTCAACTCCATGAAAAATAGATCATTCCGCACAGTTTTGCCTTAAAATGTGACGTAGTGTGTATACCGACGTCGGGAGTAGATCGAAAGCCGACATTCAGCAATTAGGCATTTCATCTGTATATACAGCTCTGTTCACACGCAAAGCAATCGAATACTTTTATTCACAGCCTCCGGGCAGTTCACATTGATTGTGCATTGTCCGAAACCGGCATTTGACGACATTCCTTAGCAATCGTTCTATCATGAAGGGAATCTAGATTAGGAGCGCATTTTTTGCTCGTTGCTCGCTTATTCACAGATCGATTGCAGATTGGGCTGCTTTGAATCTTGCAGACAGAGCCTTCTTCCCACAGAATTTTTATGGCAAATTGACAGCAGCCATTCTCAACGCATGCATTGCGTGCAACCTTGTGTACTGTACTTGAAGAGATGACTTAGCTGAGATTGAAATTCAGCTGATTTGAAATTGACACAGAGAAATTAAATAGAGTTATCGTTATGTGAATAATCGAAAGATCAGCAATTTCATTCACGTCGCACTGTTGCGCTTTTTGTGTTTAATAGGCGACGTCTACCCCGGCTCGTAATGCAATTTACACAATCAAGGGCATGTGAATGAATGTCTTGCGCGCACACCTCTTCCCAAAGCAAGCAAATTGGACTGTGATCATGTCCATATTCTTCAAGCCCGCATACTCTCTTTGTTTCTTGAAGTAGGCAGTAGGCTAACAAGACGATCAAAATGCCATTTTGACAGCTTCTTTCGCTTTTTTGTGTTCTTCGAATGAACATTTTTGTTATCTTCATGCAGATAAAACAAAATTTACTCTCCATCTTCAATGTTAGCATCAATACAATGTCAATGGATTCCAAATAAAGCAAGCGCCTCAAACCGATCCCATCTATATCATCAAGCATGAAAGGTGCCGAAAGAACAGCCATACCTGCTGTCCGTGCAGGCAGGGCTGATGAGATCAGAGCGGGCGACAATTTCAGCCACGGTCGATCATTCGATGGACATCATGGCTTAACGCCAACACGAAGCTGCACCTTTGATCGCAGCAAGAGTCCATTTTGCGCTGAGACAGGCCAGTCAGATAGACCACCGCCATATATAGGTATTGCATCACAGTCATCATCTACACTACCAACCCACCCAGTTGACACCCACTTGAGTAGACAAATTCCGATCAGTCTCGAAGGGATGCCATTGAACGAAAAGGAAAGAAAGTGTTGGGATGAAGTGAGTAGAATAATTGAAGCACTCTTGCAACGATGAATTGACCCTTTAAATCTCCTTCACAGATTCGTGAAACTGCTGGCAACCTGGCAGATACTGCATCTTTCGTCCATCGAACAGAGCGAGCTCCATCCAGAAATGATTTAGACTGGATGCGCTCAAATTTCCAAATCTTCGCAAAGAACATGTTACTCTGTAGTAAGTATATGCGTCGGAAGAAAATTGGTGAACTGTATTTCTTGCTTAATCAACATCTTTGAATTGGCTTAAGGGGTATTACATGGTGAAGATCCTCAAGTTTCCGATGCGATTCTGGCTTCACACAAGATGACAGACCCATCGCAGTACACTAGAAAGCTAGTGTCTCAATCACCGACCAAAAGTGGGACTATTAGAATGCCTCAGACGCCTTTTTCGTTTCATCCTCTCAACCGACAAGTCTCATATGATGACATCATCGCGCCCGGTACGTGCTTGCGTGGAAAAACCACTTTCAACATCACATTAATTTTCATTCTCTTCCTGGATACAGATCGAACGATGCGATTGTCGGCATCTCTCACTAATTTGACAGGAGAGCGTTGCGATGTGCCGTTCAATAGAACCCCAAGTTTAATGCGTGATCACAGGGAATCAAACAGATTCGTGGTCGGACCAGAAAAGACGGAGCTGCAGTACACCAGCTGGCGGCAGCTTAACTCCGAGTCAAGCAAGGCAAGGGGAAAAGGACATCCAGAAATCCTTCCCGAATCGATTCTTTCAAGAGATCGAGCATCTTCCTGCAAAGTACATACATACGCTCCCTCAATCGAGCAAGAGTACCCATCGGGGATTGCAGGTCCTAGCGGATTATATGCCACTGTTCCTTTGACGCTAGCTTCAACACTTGGCAATCTCCCACGTCATCCACACAACTCGCTACGGTCGGCTCCTTGCGCTCGTGAAACAAATGAAAGCAATCAAAAGAGTCCCTTTCCTAGTCAGCACAATGGGGGAAATATGTCAGGATTTCCGGTCCCCCAGACTCCTTCTCACGATTGTTTACCTGGAAGACGAGCTTCTTCCGATTTTGAGGAAAATTCTCATCCCACAGGCTATTGTCCGCCGTATAATATCTCAAATGATGAACGATACGACTTTAGGCCGCCTTTTTATCACCATTCTGCCCAGTATCGAGCTCGTGCCTCAAGTGGAAATTATAGTGATGAGTACAAGGACGCCAATCAGCATAATGATTCATACGTGAGTGGTGATGAAAATGGATGTGTGCGTCTTAGACCATTAAAGTATCGTAAACGGTCACGAGGACCTGCTCCTAACAATTGCGATTGTTGTGGCGTTCGTGATACGCCTGAATGGCGTCGAGGTCCAAACGGAGCACGGACGTTGTGTAATGCATGTGGATTATACTTCTCAAAATTTCTTCGAAGGAGAATATCAGGAAATGAATCTGCAATCGTAACTATTGAAGAGCTACGTTCGAGTCTCAAACTTCCAGGGAGGGTCTTGTAGGACAAATATCACCTTCGCTTTGAATATTGCAAGCTCAAAATTATGTTACATTATAATCTCTTCTCGGGACAAATATACAAAATTGCCTGTAATTCTCTTTTTATTTTTTACTTCGTCTTCGTCGCAATCCATGTCGTTTTCGTCCTTGTAATGCCACACGACTACTTCATTGCTGCGGATGCGGTATTTATCATTATTGAGGTACATCTCTTGCTTTTTCCGATTCGATCGAGTGGAATAAGTAGCTTGTTTTTCTAAAGACTGTTAATCCGAGTGATGATCCACATGGCGTAGCACTTCATAACGAGCGTTTAGTAAGACCAACAAAACTGGCAAGTGATAATATCAGATCACGTCAAAACAAGGAATCAGTATTCACCCAACAATGCAAGTCCAGTGCCACTTCCAGCATCTTAAAAAAGGAGAAAAGACCAGTTCCACCATCCTGATCAAGCAATAGAGAAAAAAAAGGTGTAAGCCCTTCAAGCGGACAAACGACAATAGCAAAAATGAGGAAATAGTTCGTCTAAAGTTTCTTACAAAACTATTCCATTCTTGGAAAATGCATATTCATAAAAAGCGTGAAAATGCTACGTTTTAGGTGCTAATCTGTGCATTTTTGCGCAGCTCACTGCCCGCGTGACTATGTCATATCATCATCAACTTCTTTAAGAATGCACTCTCTTCGTGACTGAGAGCGCAAATTCATTATAACATACGCTATGATAAGCCTAGCAACATCTGTACGAGATTATTTTATATACATGTATAACTGCAATTGATCGTAACGCCTCATTCGCAACACTAAGTTGCACCACAGTCTTTAAGAATCCTCATTGTTCACAGACTTGATCGTATAAAGGCAAAAATTACACACCCATTGTTCAGCTTCTGCTAGCAGTAACGAGATTGAAAACGATTGTCATTAATAAAATCATCGCAGGCGTATTATTAGATCATTTAGGTATCCACAGTTCGAAACTTGGTCGTTTGACGAAGATTGCGACGAAAAAGTGCAAAAATCATCTTTTTTTGAGAAACAGATCCAAGTGTTGCACCTGCCGTGCGCTTCAAAAGATCAAATCTTTACATTTACAGTTGGGGAGAAATTTGCACAACGATCTGAGAAGACGGGATCAAAAATGGATCAGCACTTGTAAGTTCTTTAAAACTGCTTTTTGATATTTTTTCTAATTCACCAAAAAAGGAAATGCTGGCTTTACAGGCTTTTTCAGTTTTGTCGGCGCTACTAATCAGCGTAATTGAACATGACAGTATCGTCCGCCATGTCTTGAACGACAAAGGGTATAGTATTGCGCAATTATGGAATTCGAATATTTAATAGTCTGAAAATTAAAGTACAGAGGAAATATATGAATGATTTCACAAAGCATGAAAAGCAAATACCAAGAAGAAATGATATATAATGCATACACCGGCGGAATGAATGAATCACATGGATTTGGCACAAGTCATCTCTGTTGATGATCTCGGCGAAATTCTGGAAGCCATTCGCTAGGCAGGTCTACGTCAACGATAAAGGCTGTGAGAGATGTTGCTCGTGTGTGGTGTCGTCAAACAAGATTTGATTCATTGGAAACAAAGCAGCCACGAACACTATGAAAATGTCATTCTAAACCATATCACGGTCAAACTGTTCCGTCAAAAGCCTTCCCGAGTATTGAAGCGTACAAGCTTTTTTCATGATCAGCAAACATGCTCACCGCGACAAAATAATTAGCATTCTAATTAAGCAATAAATGATGTGTATGCTAAGCTAATTCGAAATCCAAAGGAGGACATTGAAGGTTACTTTTTACACTATCAATACATTCGGCCAACGATGGTATCGAGCGTTAGAACAGGCCAAATTATGACGTCTTCATCCTGGAGTTAGAGGAGGTGTTGCCGTTTCTTCCTTTCACTCTTTGAAAGATGTTGTGTCTATTCAACCGATTCGATCCATCTCATCAATGAGAGAGAATTGGCATAAAACGGTATCCACCAATTTGTTTTTGTATTCGATATCAGTCTATTTCCGTCCAGATAGAATCTTTTCAGTACTTATTAGTCACTCTTTCTTGCATTAAAACGATCATTGCTTGACAATCGCGCTCCATCAAGGTTGACCATTCTTCGATATCACTTTTTGCTTCTATAAAAAGTAAACTTGGCTGAAAATTATTCTTTAGAATACATCTTAAAATTCCACAAAGCTGTTCATCACGCAAACACTTCTTTCACAGGCGATATTAGAGCACACGTATCTGTGCGATCCGGCATGACACGACGGCGAAAAGGCTACATGCGACAGAAAATAGATGCATGCGGAACATTCTTGAATAAATGGCAATTACGTGTAGAAATAAGCCTGCGACGCAGATAAGAAGGACGGTCTTTTTGTCAAGGGCGGCGTGTGAGCTATTGTTCAACGTCATTCAGCTAAATACTTCTGCGAAGAGCGTCTGCACTGAGATCTAAATCACATGAGGAGCAATTCCCTGGCCGACCGTCATGTCCCGCTTTTTCCCAAACAGAGTGAAACGAGACGCTGACCAGGAATTGCCGAAATCCTATCGGGACAGCGAGACTCATCAAAATCGAATGCACATCGGACATCCGACAAAGGTACCTTCATCAGGTACAAATTCACCGTGTTCAGTCTCGCGAGACAAAAGTGGTGGAGCCATGTAGGAAACAACGGAACAAGTGTCCAGTCAACATTTTTGTTTATCTTGCAGCTATCCTATCTAAATCATCGATAAAGGGACATTGTTGAGGACTATTTCGGACACGATTCGCAATTGCAACAAGAAAAAAACGGATGAAGAGCAGAGCCCATCCTGTATACACGCGCAACTTCCTCGTCACATCGACCAGAATTGAGTGTACATGCATGCCACAAGATCATCATCTCCAATGGTGGCACAGAATTTCGAAATATCAATTATTGTAAGTCTGGTTTGATTAGTAGCATCCGAGCGTTCCAAATGCAGCCACGATCTTGAAGGAGCCTTGAGGTTTTGTTCAGAGAATTGTAATTTAGATGGTAAGTCGGTTTCAATGTAACTTAACAAACGGGATACGTTTTCCATATTGATTTTGCTCTTCCGTTAATCTGGTATGCGAATAGCAATTCCTTCGAATCTTTGGGAATGCAGTCAATAACGTTAAACACGCTTTTTCTTATCTCAATTCGACCATATGCCCACCTTAATGACCATTGATGTAGAGTACATCCGGTACACTGTCTATTGATTCGTCATCATCAAATGCGCTTTCTCCTTGGTTTAGCCGAACCCTAGCAGACATTGAAGTCGGTCTTTCATTTTGATCTTGTCATTCGCCATAAGTTGGTAAAGCTTAATTACATTGCGTAATCGATGGTTTTGATAGTCCAACCCAAACGTTTTTGATAAAAATGCTACTTACCATTGCAAATGTAGCTGTCGTACGAATTGATGAACTATTCTCATCATCGTCACCATCGCCATTGAGCTATACGATCTAAAAGAGGAAAAGAGATAAGGGTATGACGAACTACTTCGTAATATCAAGTAAATCAAAAATCACAGCACTTTCTAATAGGCTTATGTAATTTCGAGCGTCTCAATCAGATGGCCAAACTTCGAGGCAGAAGATGGAGAACTCCTGAAGGCCTACTTATTATCCGGATTTTGTTTTGGTTAATTGAAATGCCAAAAAGACGTGTTTTTTAAGGCCTAGGCCCTTTTGCTAGATTACTTCCCGATAGTACATGTGGAAATTCTGATCAGCACAAACGGGGCTTAATGCATTAAATACTCAAACCGAGGCTGTGTACTGTCCCTCAGTCACGCACTCCTTTCCGTGCGCTGATCAATTTTTTTCTGCTTGGAGTTTTTTAATTGTGGTGTAGGTTTCGGTCATATCTCACACCAACTTGTTCAGTAACATTTAGGCAGGAACCTGCTCGATACTAGTGTGATAAGAATCTAGCATCTCTCCATGCTACCTTTAGGACCAAAACACACGCGCAGGTGAACACGGGAACCCACACAGGATTATTTTTTTTTTTTAATTTATCACCCGGATTTCTTCGCTAACCGACTTGGAGTGAAGGACCGCCAGATCTAGTCATTTTCTCGCTGAATCTTGACAGAGCAATCCCCGACATCCATCTGCCTTTCATTTAATCATCCGTAAAAATGACACACTCCAAACCATCAGTGTCATTCACACAATCTACTATTTTTCCGCTTCCTTGAAAAGTCATCCTTTTTTCAATATTTTCTTTCGCGATTCTCAATTCAAGTCCGTCAAATTTTCTTTCATGTCTACCAATATCACCTCTTCTAAGACATTATCAAGCCCCTCTTAACAATCTCCGAAAATTTTGAGCGCCGATCATCCCTGCATTATCGACTTGTGCTTTGTCGCTATTTCCGGAAAATCTCGCTTTCGAAAGACTGTTAAGCATACGATACCTTAATACTTTAGTGTAATTCTATGCAAGCAAGTGAAAGCCTCTTTGCGCTTCAAACAAGCAAACCCCATTCAATTTGATCCGTGCTTTTCTCTTCATGATTGGATAAGACATTAACAGTACGAGAATAGTCATGAACTCGTTCCACAGGACCAGAAAAGTTACTGTAAGTCCTCATACGAGCAATAAAAATGCCAGCAGCTCTCACGAAAAGACGAGATCAACGATCGAGAAGTTCAGAAATCGATCTTCTTCTAAGTGGTCTTTTGGAGCTCCAACATCGTCGAGAAGTTTACCAAGAGATCATCAATGGAGTCAATCAAATCATATGCCAGATCTGATTTTACAAAGAACAGAAATTCTTTTCTTTCATCATGTTCATTTCCTGGGTTTTCTCATAATTTCGCACATCCATCTCAAAAGAAAGTTTCTTCGGTATATACGGGTAGTGAAGCAAGATATACTTCAGAACGAGAGCATGCAAACAGATCGCAAAGAGGTGGACAAATTTCAACTTTTAACACAAGCACGATCGAGTATAGCTCATCAGCTCAAGAAGCACCAGTGCCTCTATTTGATCCGCTTATGCTGATGGATCGCAAAGCAGAGCCAAGGTGAGTACAAGACGCATCCACTAATATTGTCGAAATTCGTACTCATCCTCTTCCCGGTTAACAAAGAACCTATAATCTTATCATACGACAATCACCTATTCACGGTCAAGTGTGTACTTTTGGCAGTAAAGGACGAAGGTTGTAGGATCCATTACCGATCGTTCAACTGGATGTTCGTGATAAAAATGGAAAGCGTGATGTAATAGGACAATCAAGTCCATTATTTCTGATGCAAGTGAATCTGATCGCAGAACAGATCGAAAAGGGAGGAGGGGGAATTGGTAAAAGAAAAAGGGTCTCTGAACTTAATGAAAATGGACGTGTAAGTCAGAGGTCGAAAGAAGTTCGTCAAGACCTTTGCTCTACATCAAACAACAGCGCAAATATCAATCGAGTAGGTTTACTTGGTTCAGCCTCGGTCTTTGATTCGACAAGAGGGACAGCAACAACCAAAAGGGATCAGAAATCCAATTTAGGTTCACACTCTCTACCCAAATTACGCGAAACGTCCTTTTCAGCTTTACGTTTATTAGAAGGCAAGTTGATCGCATCTCCTTATATTTTGAAAGATTGCGAAGGTATTCCAGATATCCTAGATACCCAAGGGAGAAATCGGTTCGATTCGCAAAAGAGACACAAAGGAGAAAACAATCTTAAAAGGAGACATTCGAAACCAGTATGTTCTTCAGCAATCGCCAAAGAAGCAGCGGACGAGGTACAAGAAGATCAAAAAGCATATTTTTTCATCTTCGCAGATCTAAGTATTCGTTTACGCGGAACATTTCGGCTAGAGTTCTCATTAATCAAATTAGGACCACGCTTTTCTTCGACTTCAGCCCGCAAAGCAGCAGTAGGGGGCGAAATTGTTGCAAAAACGATCTCCGAACCATTTCAAATGCATCATGCAAAAGATTTTGCCGGAATGACAAAATCAACACCTCTTGCAAAATCACTAGCAGGTCAAGGCACTCACATTCCTATAAGAATGGATTGACGTTTAATAAGAGGACGTTCACAACCACCGCAATAAACGAAAAAGATATTATACTAAGCTCAACAAAAACGTAAATTTCTTACGAGTAGTACACATATTTTGCCTTCTTCTGCAAGTCTTACTCCAGCACGATCTAGCAGTCCTTCATAATACAAAATATGATCGCATTAAAAGCTCAGCTTAAAAGTAATTTTGTTCTATCAGTGACGAAGAAGATGAGACGGAGCACGTAGAGAAAGAGTGGACGCAAATGATGTCCCTTGCAATTGATTTTGGTACACAAGTAAAGCCGAAGATGGTCATGCAGTTTGGATTTACCGACGATGGTCACTTGACGTGGCTAAAGTTCGGAAGCAAAGATGAAAATGTCGTGTTAGCTCCATCGCATTTTCTAGGATTTCGAATGATGCTCTTAAACATCATTGGTCCGTCTGCAATCGCCCTAAACAATACGCGCGTCTTTGAGATGATTGTTATTGCCTCTGAAGCGTGCATGCTGATTACCAAGGGTATCATCTTGGTTGCGTTCTTCGGACTGGTCGCATACATGATGGTTTCAGGAGCGCGAAGTGCGTTGCGACAAAGTCGACTAAAAAGTAGGGCATGCAAATCAGACGTATTACCGTAAACTAAGCGCGAAAGGACAAATAGAGCATCAACCACGCCTTATGACGGCTCGCGTCCAGCCGCTTAATGGTATCACTGAGCATTTCCGAAGGAACCATGGAAAGTGTACTCCATAATTGTTTTTGTCGCTGTTCTTCTTGCAATCACCTCTCAATCTCACCGCCGCCGTAACGGTGCTTGACGCGATCGAACAAAATCTGGCCAAGTACGAGTGAAGTAAGCAGGCCAGCGTCTTCGTCAGTCTCGGCGTCTTGTCCGAACACAACATACGTATAATGGAAGTCTTCAAGAGCACAAAGAAGCTTACCGACACGAACGGACCAATCAGAGGTCCAACCCAGTAAACCTAGTGTTGGCCCGGAAACTACGCGACTGTGACATGTGGACCAAAAGCACTGGCAGGATTGATGCCACAGCCCGTCCACCCCACGCCGAACATGTGACATGCGAACGACACCAAAGCGATCCATACAGGCTCCAAATGCGTGCTATCGTGCTTCTCAGCAGCGAAAAATAGGGCAATTAGGACCAGGACGCGGCCGAAACCTCGATGAACAATCATTGTCATACGTTCACGCCTGCATACTGTGTGGTGACGTATGATCATGCTCTGACGAAAGGTGTCGGAGCCGTAACGAGACCTGCACCTGCAATACCTCGGAGAAGCTGCGCAATCACGAGCAAAGTGGCTTGAACTGCATCCAGCCGGCCGATGAGATAGAGGGCAAGCGCAATTGCAGTATGGAAAAGTGTCGGTGACACCAAAAAAATAAACAGCTGAGAATGGTAACTAAGTTTTCTGACTCTGTTTTCTTCAATACTAAAAATTGTATTCATTGACTTAAAGTTTTTACAAATCTCTTCAATGCATCCCACTGCGTACGTTTACAGGCTTAGTGACTGCATTCGAGGGCCGCGAACAAAGCAGATAGATAAAAATTCTTGTCAATATCAGTCGCGCAAATTTGCTTAATTTCCATTCCTTTACTTACAGAGCAGCCGAAAGTTATGGTTTTCTGGATTGGCCACCATAGCCCTTTCAATATACACGGAATTTCACTTTTGCTGAATTTCCTTTAATCCTGGCAGTGCAAAAGTGCATAAGAACGAAGAAAAATACGAAAATTGAAACAGAATGAGAAAAGGCTCAGATCTATATCGTCGTTTCGTTATCACGCTTATTTCAGCAGCGCCAGCTCTCATCATTACAATGTTTATTTCTACTTTTTTTTTTAGTCGCGAGAAAGTTTGGTCATTTAGACTTCTACACATTTCAGTGATAATTTCTGTCAAATTCAAAGCTATATTCAAAACATGCAAGAAAAGCAGTTTTGTAAGCTCTTCAACGTAAACACCACCGCCGTGTGTGAGAACTCAGACTATTATTCGAAATCGAGAGCATTCGTAAAGACAGATTGCAGACGCATAGAGACTACGCATTACTTGAAAGAATATAATGACTCAGCGTCTTCAGCCGAAATACTTTCTACTTAAAAAAATAAAAAAGTGAGAAGAAAGGCATAGGCCTGTTCGCTATCCTGGCATCCTTCTCTTCGGAGGCACAGATCCGTCCGGGAAAGAAGTGAAGATGATATGAACTTTATGTCGCTGTGAGGTAGCTCAGAAAAGCCTCTTTAGAAGTGATATACATAAATAAATGCAGAGAAGATACAGCAGTAGAAAATTACAGTAGCAGGGGCATAAGGCACGAGTCCTGACTTTGTGCTATGTACTTAAGTAATTATCCAACCAAAATTTTCAAAACGTATTACTTAGTTCAAAGCATACGTCTGGCCATCAAGTCTTGCGACTTCTTCACGAACCGCCAGATTAGAAATGAATCTAACATCGCACAAATTGATCTCTTTGCCCTTACTTTAGATTGCCTTTGTAACATAAGTATGAGTAGGATTTTGAAATATGGACTCTAATTCATGCTTCGTCCCGCCGGAAAAGATATCAGGAATGGTGCACCTTTTCAAATCAATTATATTGTATACGGTTCCTAAATTACATTTTGGAGATTGCGGCTGCATAACGCCACCCATAAGTAGTAGCTCGAATGAGATGCGATACACCTTGTAGTAGGCATTCATTGCTCACGACGATTCTTCTCTCACATAAATACAAGGTTGCGCAGGCTCTTTTCCCGCTTGTAGTCGTTCAGGAATTGAATCGTTTGCTTGTCTGTGCGGCTGTACAGGACGCAGGTTCGAACTTCTGGATACGTCAAAACGACGAAAGCGAACAAGAGAACCACGAGTATAGGTGACCACAAACGCTTAGAATAATGCTTAATGCCACTCCTCGGTAGTCCTGTCGCTTTGTACGACAAGCTGTGATAAGATATCAAAGGTCGTTGTTCGGGCGCTTTTGCTATCTGGGCGTGCTGTACGTGTTGTGAGCAGTTTAGCTAAGAAGATCAATACGAAAACTTTAGACTCGAAGTGCTATGGAGTTCGACAATCTTGACGAGCAGATTGAAAAATTACTCTATCAGGCCTTGTTTTTAAGCAAGGAACCCTTCTTCCACCATTTCTGCCAGCGATTGCTTAACTTCGATGGATCTTAAGGTAACCCCTTCTCAATACTCTTGCAAGGTGGTAGACATTTACTTTCACTGATCTTCGCTTCTATACTCAAAGAGAAGATACTGCTACTTTGGAATACGGAGTCGACTGCCTTACAAAAAAAGGACAATACCGTCAAAAGGCACGTCAGACTTTGACAACAGAAATCATCATTATAGCTGGCAGTGCCTTGAAGCGCTGCGTACGAGATGTATATTTTTTCAAGAGAAGGTTTTAGAGAAAGATAAACAAAATGCTAGTTATCTTTGTGCTGGCTTTCGAGGAAGGATTCCTGTGAGCCTTTATTTGTGATTATAATGAAATTCAATCTGATAATTGGAGATAGAAGACCTATTGCAAAAAATAAATCTTTTCCAACACCATTCGTATTCCAAGTTCTTCCCTTTTCTTATCCGTCTCACTACGATGCGGCTGTCTATTTTGACAAAAATCCTATCTGAAAGTCTGTATAGAATGTTTGAAGTACTCCTACATTGTCTTTAACTTAAAAAATCTCCATTACAAGCATGTATCGTCAAATTATCTTAACGGGGCTTGGACAAGCTGGTTTGGTATTGAATCGCATGAAGTTGGACATGTGACCATAGGTTTAATGAGCTGTATTGTAAAGTCAACAACTTGCAGTCAAATTACTGAAGGTGTTGCCAAAGTATGTGCAAATCTGCTCATCATGATTGTGGATGGCCCGATATGCTATTCAGCTCAATTGATTCATCGTCGTCATCTGACATGCACAAAGCCACTCACGTTGCAGCATGGCACTACCTCATCTATTGTGTGGAACTCGCAGCCGCAGTTGCAATTAAAAGGTCTGATGCAAATCATACACGAATGTCCAGCTATTAATTTTTCATTGTTTATCTAATTAAAGGGAGTGGCTGTGATATCGATCTTTCATTAGGTCACGTTCCGCTTAGAAGAGTTAGAAGGACAAAAATGGCACTAAGATTCCCATTGGATTCAAAAGACTGACCGAATCGAAATTGTCATAACTGAGGTGATGCTTTTGTAAATGCACGCTCTGCACCTTTCGAATGACAAAGCAGCAAAACTGGCAGAACGCATCAAGTCGCACAGCAACGCTCGGGTATGCGGTCCACAAATAGCAGCATACCCTCCACTTTCAATTTTATCACAGAGAAACGGTGATAGTACAATCAATTGGAGGCAATAGTACGGAAAGAAATTGATACTAATACAGTGTAGAATTACTATCTCTTAGAAAGAAAATTGTAAGTAAAAGGTGGTTTGTTGTTAATAGGGAACGCGTAGGAGTGCAGCGTTACTGCCTTGGAAATTCTAAATGCGTCCGGCCTCATTATTTGACTTTGTTTCTCGGTTCTTATTCGTATTCTGTGCATTTAGAGATCTATTGAACGGCAAATCACTTTGTCCGTCTTCCACATCGTTGTCTTTTCTGTCGCGAATTCCATCACGTATGGGCCATATCAACAAACGATTGTATGGTCTTCATGCTCTGCGCCCTGTACTTGCGTTCTACAGTGAAGCATTGCGTGATTTTGATGTCGATTCCGAATTTCTGCTGTAGCAGGGGTTTTGTCTGACGTTTATAAGTGTATAGTTGTCGCTAAAGATACGAAGTGAACAATTCTCCGGGATGCAGGAGATTTGCGAAACATCTTGCTGTAACGTGGGGTGCTGGTTGTGAGATGTATGTATAGCAGGATCTATTTGTGTCCTATGGAATATCGCGGAAGATGCATGATCGGTATTGCTTGGAGTGCGTTACAATAAGCGTAAGGAAGAGTCTGACATGCTGCAGATGCTGCCGATTAAAATGACCTTTTGGACGGAGATAAGAACTAGGACAACAGGCAATTTCGACGACGTTTATCAGGATCGTACGCGCCAATGAGGTCAAATAATATTCAGAGCCGCTCCGAATTCCGCGTAGCATAAGCGCACTTGCGACATTGCACGATGCTTAGTTGCTTTCAGATGATTTCTAGTTTCGCTTCCATCTCATAATTACTGCATGCCCCGATCAAATCCTTCACACGTTTCTTATAGCTCTGCAGCGAGCGTGAGCTTCAGAGTTCATTCTCTTCAACAAGCTAGCATCACCTTTCAAAGCTATGACGATGAATGTCCTGGAGAAATTCTCGCCCTGCGAACTAACCTTTCGAGATGGCCTTCTGCCTTGAGAGTGTGTACGCACTTTGACGAGATAGAGCAAGTTGCCATAAGCACAGCCGGTGGAGACTCTACACAAATATGCTCAGCCGTTGCTAGAGCTAGACAAATCACAGATCGATCCTTAGACCGCTGTTCACTTCAACATGAGCGCGTTTGGATGCGCTCTGTAAATGAGAGAGTGCTACATGATCTAATTCATGCTGTATCATCTGATGAGCTTTCAAGCACCGAAGATTACCTGTGGACCGAGGGGAGGCATCTCATGGGCCCAAATGCAGAGAGTCTACATGATCCAAAGCCAGATTTTGCCTTTGGCCTTGCAGCAGTCATCGAGCACAAAACTGGTTATAACAATACGGATTGCCTAGATTGGGACTTAATGAACCTTATGAAGCTCTCTTCTTCTTATAGGATTACTTTCAGTCCCTCCCAAATGCAAGACATCATCTACCCTGCGTTCGTTTATGAGGCAAAGTCGGACAAAAATCCCATCGTGTGGGCAGAGAACCAAGTAGCTGTAGGCGCGGCCCGAGCATTAGGGTTGCTGGACGAGCTTGCAGAGTTATCGGGAAAGCCATACATACCGTGTATTGTGGCTGCAACCTCGGCTGGTGCTCAGTGGCAGTTTCATCTTGCTTATCGCACCGGCGATTCTCGTATCGTGAGTATCTGTCCACTTTACTTTTGTTTGCTAGCTTTCATACTGATATCTGGACGAGAAGTTTCTACTACCTATGCTCGATAAACCACTTTGGATCCGCAATCACATGGAGCGAGTTATGTTGTTGACCGTCATAACACGCATCAAGAGATGGATAATGGAGAATTTTCAGCATGACGTGAAAGAGCGACTTACCGCTCTGCGCTCCGACCTGTAGAACAGATCATCGGATGGGCACTGGAAGAAGATGCATTGATTCTTCGTGCGCTAGCATGATCTCTCTTCCTGAATCATATAGGATTTGTGGACAATAGGGCCCTCACACATTGCAAGAATGTACCGTTTCTGAGACGGCTGACGTTTGAAATGAGGTCGAGAATATTCAAACCAAAATAGACGCTGCTTACTACGATTGCTACTCGATCACATCTATATAGGTGTGTATACCAGAGGCAAGAGTGGCGCTACAGCTTTGTTCATTGAAAATCCGAAGTAGAAGATATTGTAGGCTATCCAGGTCTGCCAAAACTCTCTTGATCTTGCCTTTACCTCTTCAAAGGTGGAGAAGAGATCAACGTCGATCTTGTCAGAGTCTGAAGTCATTATTGATGAATAGCGACGAAATGCAAAGCTGAAAACTACATATTGCAACCCATTTTTGACATCTTCAGAGAATTTGCGTGAATTCCTGCTGCAATTGGATGAGCTTCTGTGAAGCTTCGCCAGCTCGCTTGTCGAATTTCAAATTAAGCCTCAACAAATACATCGAATTGAAATTTGCATCAATTAAGTTGTTAACTCAGGAAGTTGCATGACCTGCAAGTCTGACGAAAGATGCAACCACGGTAGAATTTCAAGCACTGCGTTGTGCATAAAATCATCAATGAATACGTGAAGGCAAAATTACAAATTTTTCTATGAATTTTCATTCCAAGATTAATCAGTCATTCACCTGCTACGCCCCACCTATCGACACTACCACGAGGCTTGGAAATACCACGTCCAAATTGCTCCAAACTTTCATCATTATAATGATAATAATGTTATCGAATGATGAAAAAGAAACGATACAGTGGACAATTGCCGAGTCATGGCAAATGGAAGACTTGATCGTGTGCCACAGAGTATGCTATCGACTCCCGCATGATTTTCAATCAAACTTCTTCCTTAAATAGATCAGATTGCATTGTCCATGATATTAAAATTTATATTATCAAGACTCACAATTATACGGAAGAGCAGCTCTGACAAGAAGTAATAGCTGCTCATGACTGTTATGGTGTTTTTGAGTTTACTGTTCACGGTATTCTCCCTATAGATGAAATTACATGGGAAGAAATGTATTTTTTGCGGCTAAATCATGAATTTCACTTGATTGTCAGATACTTAGTAGAACAAAATGGCGGAGACGTCGACAAAAAAAGCCACAAGTAAGCTAAGTCTACACATAGCAAACTACCGGCACCTTTTTCGTAAGTGGACGTAGATGGTAACGTATATCTCAAGAAAGTCAAGCTTAATTGGAAGTATGGTTTTATAAAGCTTACTTCATCCGCCCTCAATACAGCTATTCCGTGAAGCGACGAAAATAAGAAGATCGAAGAATTTTGCAGGTGCAGAAATTAGCCCCTCAAAAGTATCTTTTGCTTACTAGGATCGGAAAGTGGTGGCAGAAATGAAGCAACTTCACTTCCCACTAGATGCCGGTTTGATCAAAGAGATCTGCGCTTTCGCGACAGAGAAGAAAGTATGACGATTCTCATTCTTGACTCTAGATGCTGCAGCATTCGTTGCAGCAACAAAGGAAATTGCCAAAGGTTAAATTCACCTCAGATAAAAGCTGACCTTCTACTAGAATCGAAGACTGATTATCATAAGAAGGCTGAAAGCTGAATGAATTCAACAAAAGACTGTGTTCAGCTATTAGCGTGACCGTGCCAATCGTAGGTAGGATGAGCGCCTTTATCGACCATTTTCTGATAATTGAGTATTTTTACGCATCCCTGATAATCATTGAGTCTATCCATACGCCCTTCTAAAAGCATAATCTCGAGGAATTGGTTTGACGAAAAATAGTAACTCCTGAAGATACCAAATGCGCAGCATATTCTGCATCAGTAACTTCCAATTGCCCATTCTCTGCCCGTCCGTCTTTCTACTTCAGATCTCCAGAAAGGAACACATTTGCTTCTGTGGCTATACGAACGGCTTCATCACCAGTTGTCGACCAGTGATTCCGGAATGATGGTGTTTATATCTTGTGATATTACTCCAACTCTTATGCACGTTTGCTTCCGATTCTTACACAGTCCAGTTTTTTTCTTTCTTTTTTTTTTTTGGTTTCCTTTCTTTTGGCTCTATTTACGCACGATTTAGTGTGTTTGATCCGATCTAATGCTTTTTTCAGCATTGTGACATGTGCATGCATATCAATGAAATCTGGAGCGGCTGGTTGTTTGCCGTGTAAATCATGTATTTGCACACCTTCCAACATAGCAGCCTCCTTTGTCGATCTCTCATTTCCCTTTCCAATCAGTGTATCCTCTTTTGCCAGAATTGATGCTGAAATAGAATTGTTCAGGAATGCACCCTTACCTTCAGCTCTTAGACTGATCAACAACAAGTCAGAAATTGTCCGATGCTAACCTTCCTTGCGGATAGTACCAGGGAGCTAAATGCGTGTCTACGTATTACGCGAGATCGGCTCTCTTGTGGCTCGTTAGATCTACAAGAGCATCTGCGCGAGTCCAATTTCTAATACGAGAAAGTGAGAATAGACTTTTCCTCGCTAAATGACTGACAGAGATTAGCGCGAAATTTGATCTTACAATATGTAGCAGCTTGACACGGTGACACGATGTGACCGATCAACAATGTGATACCAGCTCTTTCCATACCGATCGAGCGATATACAAAGATCGTCTAAGATAAGGTAGCTTACAGATGTTGCGTACAGTCACCCTTTGATCGTACCCGAATGAGCCCACAATGCGATCTTTAAGCAAAGGGAAAGAAGAATCCCATAGTATCTTCATCCATTCTTACAAAGTCTCCAGACTAACCTCAAATCTTGTGACGAGAACGACAAGGACTGATACGATTCGCTCGAGTGAAAAGACAGGATTCTTCTCTCGCTAGAGGCAGGGTTTCGGCTAGAATACACTGAATCAGCTAGTACCAAGGTCGTGACGACATCTTTGCATTTATGTTCTCGCCTGTGCTCTTCGTGATCCTGTTTATTTAACATCGCTGTACACACTTCTCGCGCACAATTTTGACGGGCTTTCGCATTGGCATGAGTGACTTGAAGTCTGTGTGAAAAGGAAGCGATCGATACTACACAGGAAGCCACGGGTGCGGCATCTTAGACGAATCGACGATCCTGTCTTTCACATCACCAATCGAGCATACCGAGTATACATTTGCTAGACTGTACGCCTCACGAAATCTCTCTTACCGCTCGAATGAAATACAAAGGAATGGTAAGATGTTGCTGCGAGACATCTTGAGCACGGCTTGATAATAGTTCACCCCACCACGATTCCGGCCTTGTCGCGAAAGTACGCGCATGTACTTCATAATTATTCAATGCAAATCCTTCTCAGATGGACTATCTGCTGCCCGACTTGTTGAAAGCGCGTAAGTGTGAGATCTTTTTGATCTCAGGCAAAAGTGAAACGCGGGCCAGATGAGCGATGCAACCTAGAGCTCAGCAATTGCCCGTCTGCTATGGAATTAAATTCTCCAAATTTGCTGTAAAACACGTGGCTACACCTTCAGGGGCGCCTCAACAGAGCTATACAAAGAAAGGAGAAAAGCTACTGTATACCTGGCGAATCAATATCATAAGTCAAGGCTTCCTTCTACATCGCCTTTGAGAGGATTAGCGAAAAAGACGGCGAACGCGAAACAGTCTCGATACTCTTTTACGCCTGCTATTTGGCCTCAGAAGGATATCATTGAAATCTTTGACCAGAGTGGCGATCGAATCGTCGGCTTTTCGGTAAAGTTCCTTTAGCGCGGCGGGGTATTGAGTTGGGCATATATCACATATTGCGTCCAATCGAGCATCTTAGAGGGGGGTGTGCTCTTGAACGAGAATGAAGCTAGTGTTGATCATAGTCAAATACCAACAGCTGCAAGGTATCGTTTCGTCAAAGACGGTAGGTGGATTCAATTCGATTCCTACTTAAGTTGTCGGTGTACCTTCTAACGTCTAGCAAACATCTCTCATGTTCTACAGATAGGCTGCAGGAGTCTTGCACACCGGTCGTAGGGCCAAAGTTGCATCACAAGCACAGAGGTCCAGTGCAAGACTCAAATTCTGACACAATGAGCGCATCCTCTGTTACAGAATGTAGCAGGAATCAGGTAAGGATCTGCGACTTCTAAGCGATACAAGTAGAGAGTAGTCACCTAACTTCTATTCTACACTGCTAGTCGGCATTCTGAAGTAGACTCCTAATTCGCGATGGCTGGCGTGTCGTCTCGGACGAAGCCAACACTGTTGCAGCTCACATTTTGCCTCAAAGTCGACCCGAGGTGAGCATTGCCCAACATAAATTTAATTGAATCAAATTTGCTGACACACGGAGATTCACAGTATTACGAGGAGATTCTAGGATACAGACCCAGCTCTCTGCATGAGGTGGGCTTTGGAATGCTGCTGTTAGGATCGCTGCACCATTCTTTCGACCATGCAGAATGGTCTCTCTTCCCCGATCCTAAAGTAAGTCTTCTTCGGTACTGTTTCTCTTCCTTCTTACTCTGATCCACAATACCCATGACACAAGGGATGAAAGGAGACTACATCGTGCATGTATTCTACAACACAAGTTTACGCCAGTATCATGGGAAAAATATTCACAAAACGCGCTTTCGGATAAAGGACGATCTCGAACTTTCCCGAGATGATTTTCTAAGGTTTCACTACAAGCAATGTATCCTCAAACACATTCGGGGTTATTCGCACTTTTCTTCGTTGGGCTAAGATCCTCATCTAGACAGAACGAGAATTTGGAATTGACATTGATTCTACACTGCATCCCGCTTCTGAGGCACAGTACCTCAACGATCCAAGGCGGTACTCAAGAAGTAATGTGGCGATGATTGGACTGAATTTCCGGTGTAAGGTCGTGGAGGTACATCAAGCACGTCGAAAGACTTGAAAGGGGAAAGAAGAGCAGTCATGGACAATGGACAAGCAGTCCAAGCAGAGCAGAGGAAGAAAGAGAAGAAGTCATCCAACTAACGCTAGATGAGGATTGAATATGAGCTTGTTCTCACAATGTCGGAAGGTCATGCCACACCTTCAGGCTCACTGAATTGATCCGTTATGGCTCTCGATTATACTCTACTGCACAAAAATTATAATGCATGATGACAAGGGTGGCCTTTTTAATAAGCAAGCGCGCACATCCTGTCAGAGATTGCAGAGACTCATCAACCGCAAGCATACGACTGGTCGCCTTAGCGATACAAAGTAGGTCCCGGCTCGCTCCGAAGGCTTGGAAATTCAGGGGCGGAGATCTGTCATACCAACGTGGCCTACATCACGAAAGCCTTCCATTTCATTGGCTCCACTGAAACAAAAAGAGGTGCCGTAGATTCTTTCCGGCTATGACCAATTATTCAAGAAAAATGCCCATATAGCGATGGTTGGCCACTAAACACGCATTGGTGCGGGATCAGGTATGGAAACAAGGTCACGCAATAAAGCAGGAGAGAGAATGGAACTAGAAAGCGAAAACGCGATGGCTTTGCGCAACCAGTCCAAATTGTTGCACAAGGTCAAATAAAAAGTAAGTCATCCTATTGTCCCAAATCTATTATCAGAGGTTTAGGCTTTTCGCTGAGCTGATGCTGATCGTGATTTGCATACACCCTTCTCACAGTGTTCCGCTTTTCACTTTCCTCCGAAAGGAGGTAAGAACCAATAAATTTTTGATCGTTCATTGTATCGGTTTCAGGAACACAGTGCCTGCTACTTCAATACCCAAGACCTTTCCGCGGGTGTTCTCGATTGTGATCTTATTCTTTTTTATCTTCATTTTTGCGCAAGGGTGATTGTTTTAGTATCCTTAATCTTGAATCCGCAGATATCTTTGGCCAACAGAATTGCATTTAACCTAAGATTCAGGAGATAGGATTTTCACCTTAGTTAGAAATGATTACCTTTGGGATCGTAAGTCTGTAATATTGATGAAATTAAATTAAATATAGTTGAATTTAGACATTTGACCCTCTAAGCCATGGACTTTATCAGATAAGGATTGGTCTTCCCCATTACTGACCGTTCGCGTCGAATATTGATCAAACTTTATCTCATCACGTTGCACTATATCGATCTTTGACTCATTGTGAGCAAATAAAGTCCATTCGATATGATTATTCCTGTACAAAGATCCTAGTGATAATGCATCTTCTGGTAGCTAGCTCTTCATGCTTGAGAACTACAGTAGACCTGAAGCCATGAATCTCAAGCTGCTCAAAATAAATAGGCTATTTTCATCAATATCAATATCATTAGGACCTGTTGCATTGATGCTGACTATCGTTGGACCGCTGTGGTCGAATTTATCGATACAATGAAACGTTTGGGCATTTTAGCGTATACAATTCGATAAATCATCCATACTACCACGGAAGGTTACGGGTCTAAGTATATTAATAAAACGACTGGCGGATTCGATGATAAAGCTGATAGTCACTACACGATAAAAAATAGCAATCTTCAACGCTTATATACCTCTAACATCGAAGATATGATTCAGGATTACTTTCAAAACATTGTTTATGGTGAAAGGAGAACGACTCAAACCTCTCAACGTTTTACCTGCCTTTCCGGATCTCTCAGTTGTACGCATACTATAAGAAAAAGGGAAAACCCAACTAGCTTGCAGGCATTGTTCCTTTGGCGCTCGCGCTCACTGAATCAAAGGATGACTTTAGATTTGGCACTTGATTGACTTTTCGACAGCTAAGAGAAAAATATTCGTATATTGCTTCATTACTCATTCTTCAAATCCCATCACATATCTATTCGCGCCAATGACCTTATAAGGCTCGTTGAACAGTAAGTAGGTGTGTGGTCCTGTAACTTTCACTTTCAACAAGCGTGAGTGACCCAAGCGCGTCAGGTTCTAGACTCGTACATGTAGAAATGCAGTAGAAAATAAAGGGCCAATTAAGGTCCGCACTGGCTTCTAAGGATGCGATCGGTAAAATGCAGACTCTTTCTCCTGTCGACATGTGCACCTCTATCGACCTTGAATTGGGCCAGCTTGCCATAGACAGCGGGTAGTGTACAGGAACATTTTGATTCTCCGATGAGACTGAAAAATCCATATTGAGAGATCAATCAACACGATGCACTATCCCTATCCAGCGTGCATAGATGATGAATGTAAATGAGGAAAATAGATGCACACATCAAAATCGAGTCTGAACCTGCTCGCTGCAACACGCTAAAAATTCGTCACCCACACAAATTATGCGTACGTACTCGGGCTGCAACAAACTGCCTCTTATCAAAAAAAAAAAGGGATATTGGAGTAACAAGAGAAGCATTGAAGATCTCCTTAAATGCTTTTTATAAGAACTGATTTGCAGAATGTGCTGTAGGCAGACACCTACAAGACACCTTCTCTGAGAAAAATGAAGGTGAGCAGCTTTTGTTGGAACCTAGGCAGTACTTATCGAATCAAAGTTGCTTGAAGAATGCTCTTGTAATCCGGAGTTTGTGTGAAATGCATTATAGATACGAACGCCGCCGCAATAAAAGATGAAGATTTTCAATATACGTTCAACAGAAAAACCCCTTACTATTTTTCTTCTTTTGGCATTGAAATTTGATTTGTGCGGAAACCGAAACTTGCGTGTATTTGTCCCGTAAAAGTAGTGTTCTTTTGATAAGGTAACTCTAATCTAGAGATTTGCCATTTCATAGAAAATTCGCGTAAAGTACAAAAATGGCTATTGCCTTTGAAGACTGAGTCTAAGGAGCTAAAACCGCCTTGAACAACGCCACAAATTAGCAAAAAGGACTCAGTCATTCTCCGGCCTGTAAAAATTAGTGCTAGCATATTGCACGAAAAGCTACACTCTTCATATTTTCCCTACCTTAATAAAGACGTTGGACTCAGCTGCTTCGACAACTGAACTTCCTGTCAATGTATTTAAACAATTAGCTGCTGGCAAATTAGATACCGAAGCTTTCAGCGTCAGTGGATTAACAATAGTGAACTCAGGGGTCAATCGTAACATATTGTTGCATCTTCCAAAGAAAAAGGTGAAGAAACCATGATAAGTCAGGATGATCTTTCGTGGTTATCTCGGGACAGCTGTAATTTTCTATTCCTTTCAGCAGTGCTCACGCAAAAGGATCCGTCCCTCTTCCAGTGCATTCCATTCGTGCCCCGATTGCGACAGAACTAAATATGTCCATTCTTAAAGTTGCAATACACTAGAGCGCTCAAGTCAAGGCGATTTAATACGATTTTCCGCACATTTCTCTCTCGCAAAGTCATTGATAATGACCTCTTCATTACCAATAAGGCTCGACTTGCGCGATGTCAATTCGGTCTTAAGGATATACAAAATATCAAAGTTGTTCCAAAAGGGCGAGAAGATCGTCCGTGCGAAGCAGCTTGTGTCTTGCATAGAAGCATGTATTCATGTACAGCAGCGAAAAAGCTAAAATACCCTGGCTGTGGGGCGTAACTAGGCTCGGCGCTAAAGAGAATGAGAATCATGTGGTTTTTCATCAATATTTCACACACATCTTAGAATACAAACAGTTCATTCTCTCGCCTGTTGCAGACGTTCCTGAATTCCTCGTAGTTGAGAAGTTAGAGCTCCACTTTGCGCCATGTTATCCGCAACAAAAAGGGGGGTTTCCAAAACGCGCGCAGAATTAGTATCAGACGCATCAGTATGCAATGTTGCCCTTTAAGCCCTTAGCCCTCTCGGCATAGAATCTAGCCAATGGCGCGAGGTACCTTTGCGTCGATTTGTGCACTGGCTGTCACCTTTCCTTGACATTATTTTACAAACCTCATCACCTTCTTTACCTCCTCCTCCCTCATAATTAACAGAATGACGGTATCGATTACCCGAGAAATGTTTATCAGCGAAGAGAAACAAAGATTTCTTCAAGCTTTACCGACAGTGCTTGGTCTCTGTATGACAATGTACATGCCATTTGCTGCTCGTAAAAGTTTGAAAGTTTGGCGTGCATTACAGGTCTACGATGCTCAAGAACCTCCCAAGAACGGTTTTCTTGAAGAACCTCCCAAGAACGGTTTTCTTGGGGAAAAAAGAATGTCAAGATTGGAATTGTTCTCAATTGTTTTCTGGTGTTTTTCGCCAAGTATCTTACTTTTGATCGCGTTCATTCCCATTAAAGATGAAGCCAAATGGCCCATCTTTTCCGCTTTCCGTCTTTATATTCCCTTCATCTTTTTTGCCTATGTTCTTTCCTTTTCTTTATCCCACTTGTTCGCTCCTCTTATCTTGCCGATTCAGCGTGTTGGACGTAGATTGGACCCAAAATTGGACAAAAAGACAAAACAAAAGAGCCCGGCAAACGTGACGATCACAAGAGACAGTACGAGACGCAATCCTTTGGCTATTTTTTTCGTTTTGCTGAACATCATAATTTCTGCCACTACTGCTTATTTTTTTGCACATTCTACGGATTCGATCTTGATCGTTATTGTGATCGCGTTCGTAAGAGCATTTGTGTACTCTCGAAGTTTGATCTTACCCGCGACATTTGGACACAACGTGTCTTTACGATCTCACGTCAAGTATCTTGTAGTGATCTTAATCGCTACTATCTCATTCGTTGCAATTGTGATTGCCATCGTAAACTCTGTTGACTATCTAACGTCGTCGTCAATGAAATCTCCTGAAAAAGCTAAAGAAAAGGAAAAAGATTTGGACAATCGCGATCTGATTATCGGTCAAATGATCTGCTTACTTTACTCGTCAATTTGGCCTTTGCACATGAGTTTGCCTGCTTTTTTGATGACCTTAGCTTATCGATTCGATGTTGCAAACGAAGGCTTAAGTGAAGTTTCGGATGAGCAAAAGAAACAAGCAATTCGTGAATCAAAAGAAATGGCAAAACATTGTATGTCACTCAAACACCCCGATCATCCTTTTGACAATGTTGGACGTGTACCAATCTTGCTGGTCTCAATCGCACTACGCCTTTCCGAAGAAGAGCCAAAATGCGCATTGCCAACCTTTACTGCAACCATGAAAGCAATGATCTCCGTCCAGCTTGCAAGCCTGTTCATCATTTGGGGATTTTTACCTTCATGGTTCAATGTACCTTATTTCGTTCGTTCGAAAGAAGCTCTGCTCTTATTCCCTTTGCCGTATTCATTCAATTTTGGCATTCTTTTTGCCTATTTTGCCATTGCACCGGTTATGCTCTTTTCTGTCGGGTATCACGCCAAACAAAGAGGTCAAACGTTCGGAGCCGGTTTACGCGCCCTTTGGACATACGAAGAGAAATGGCAAGCAAATTATCTCCAAACTAAGATCGATCATCAGATACATCTCATGGATACACGTGAAGAACTTGAAGGCAAAGAAGGAGAAGAGGAAACATTACTCGCTGATCACCTCAGAGATGACTTGGATGACAGACAATCCACAATTGTTTAAGCAACGAATTCGCTAGTTCTTCTCAACACGACTGTACAAACACATCAAATAGTTTGCTCAGTACACTTTTGCTTCTCTTATCGTGTTGCAATATATCAGAACCTTGAGGACATCGTACTACTTGTGCACCGCGTTTGAGCGTGGCGAAATGTTTGGCACTAAGCCAAGATGCTTCTTATCTGCACTTATATGTGACCTGCAAAACCTCATGAAGTCGTACTGCTTTGACCATAATACCTTCAAAATTTTCCAAATGATATTCAACGAGCCCTGGCATGATAAGCATAGAGCCAGAATCTTGCGACAATACGAATCTTTCTTGCTTCTGCCATTCTAGCCTTGGCACGTCTTATGGGGGAAAGAGTCTAGACATTGATAGAGACAAGCCAGGTATAGTATTTCTCTTTAGAAATATAGGAAGTCACAAGAGCAGCAGTACGCATTCAACAGCGTCGTCAATTGCAGTCAGAAGGTATGCGAGATACTTGCATTTCCTTCAATACGTACTGGATTCATCATCTTCATAATCTGTTTGATTTGCTCATCCAGTATTCAGCACAACAACAACAACAACAACAACAACAACAACAACAACAACAACAACAACAACAACAACAACAACAACAACAGCTATAACAGCTATAACAGCTATAACAGTGATTTTAAGAGAATCAAAAGCAATCTAAATGATATGGGAAAGTGCGACTTCCTTCCATCTGTTTCCATCTGTAAATCACGCAAGAATACATTTATTGCAACATAAATCATTGAATGGGAAATTTCTTTCAGTCAGATGTTGTGCAAATCTTGAATAAAATTCCTATTCCTCTTTCATCAAGCTTATATCGGCTTTAATTAGATTTGTGTTTGAGAAAGTACTTTTCTTGATGCTGTGTAGCAGGATGGGTATCTGAAGATGTCTCACAAAGTCCGCCTGAGATTGGCGCAGTATAAGAAGTACCAAGCGCTACTTGTGAGAATGAGGCAGTCCCTTTTGGGCACATCGTAGGCAAAGTAGGAGATGGGCCTCGACGTTGTCGATGTGAATAAGAATACGAGGAAACCGATTGTTCTCGACGAGAAGCCTTGCAAAAGCTGCTTGATCGAGCATGGATGTCCTCGTTGAGTGAATCGGTCGTACAAATGATGTACATCCAATGCAAAATGATCAGCCGAACAAATATCGCTTTCGGCTAGAACATCAATCTCACGATGCAAGTGCGAAGTCAAAGTTGCAATATCACCGCCACGAACCGAAGGTAGGAGGCGGGGTCCTGCTGCTGATGTTTTAAATTGAAGACTTTCAATACGCTTGCGTACTCTCATCATCACAGACCACAATTGATCGGAAAAATCCATGTTATTCGAAGAAATTTATGCCGTCCCATACGAATTTGTCGATGATTGAAATTGCGATACGTGCCGAGAAGCTGCGCGCAGAAAGGAAGAAGAGGACACAGAAGAAGGGTTGTTCGTGTTATACATATTCGAGTCGATCCTGGTCGTAACAGGACTATTCGGAAATTGAAGTGATGTATTGTTGGCATATGTAGGACAGTCCAATGCTGAAATCCGTGCCCTGGAATAAATGTTGAACGAATGTGTGGCAGATCCCATTGATCAGGAGAGATACGCTGGCGAAGAACTACGTTCTTTGTTTGGCACAAAATACGATTTGTCACGCGAATGTAAGATTTCTTGTTTTTTTTTTTTTTTTTGGGAAACCAAAACGGTCGATCACAAGCGCCGTGATCAGACAGTGCACGTCCGTCTATGTGGTGCGGATCTACTTGTCCGTTCATACCAGGTCTCCGGCCTGTCCGTCCCCTTCTCTTCTTCCGATCGGAAAGCGGGGAGGCCCATCACGATACGCCCACATTTCGGATGGCTCTCCGCGCAATCCCTGATCGAGACTTAGATAACTTCCGCTTGATCAATCATCTGTCCTTGTTCTTTGGTCCTTGAGTCAACGTCCAATATACGCTTATCGATTGTTGTTGAAGGTGTATACCGAGAATTAAGGCCTTTAAGATGCGCATTCAAATCTGGAAGCATGATTGTCAGTGGATTTAGCTGGCTTTCCCTTTTTTTTCAAGGGGCCGTCGGCACAGGTGTTGTCATTAAGGGGTAGTAATCAAAACTGAGATACGTCCCAGATGGCAGTGTTCATCGAATCTATCGAATCGAAAGCATTTTTTCCCTGCTTGTTCTAGAAAAAAAGACTTTCATAGATCAGCAAAATAAAATAAAATGAACTCTGTCATCCATAAAAGCAGTTGTAATATCTTGCGTTCCAGTTGCTTTTGATGATAACTGAATTGCAAAAGCTAACCATCGATGAGCTCGAAGTATTGAGTCGCGATTGTATTTTCTTCGAAAATTTTGTCACAGTATAGAAAAGTTTGCCTAGTAAGACGTTTCCGCAAAGCTTGTTCAATCTCTGAGAAAAGATGATTGCGTCAACGAAAGCCGCCGAAGAAGCAGAAATTTCGCAGTTCAATTCAAACCTTTCCAACTACACTCTTATGTCGTTACAGGCAGGTGTACCTTGTAGCGATGCAAGAAGCTCTGATACGAGCATTGAATACGACCCGAATGTCCCACATTTGAGGAAGCGAAGTTGACCAGAAATCTCGTTTTGGTTGTAACTTTGAGAAGTGAATAGACGGATTCTTTTGACCTTTTACGAAAATACGAAGTCTTCGATGCTTTCGCCAAATCGAATGATTAGCATTGCACATCTATTGACTTCTCTTCCAATGGGCCATATCGTATAATGATATGAAGAGGACTATCACTTTGACAAGTTGTATGAGGTATGCTCGCACAGCAAGCTGCATCAAAAATTGAGGCTTATCTCGTTTGGACTAGCAAAACACTGAGGCAGCGCCAGATGACTTGTGAGTGTCTGGATATGTCAGGATTGGGGGCCTCAAGGATGTGATAGCATTTCTAAAGCAGCAAACACACTGTCATTTGAGGGCATGACCAAGATACAGTGCAGGGTTTGATCCAGCTCAGATCGGTTATGTTGGCTGGGGTGAATTGTCTGCGTCAAAAATTGTTCTGTATAGGTTTGTAAGATCAGCCACAATTGCAATTCGTCATCCTATTTCATCGGTGTTCGATATCAAACACATTCGGGCTTTTAGAATAGTAGGCTAGGTTGATCTTGATCGATCAGGGAACCAAATCCTTTCAGATAAGATCACGACTCGCAGGAAGAATATATGCGCACGATGTATGATACTACTATCTTGCAACGCTGTCATACCGGCCTCCAAGAAATTATTTTATTGTATAGCAGGTACCTTTTCTATAACTTTCTAATGTTCGGAAAGTTGGGTGATGACTCGGCTTTGACGTCTTATTCGTGCGTATGCAATCTGTTTATTGGCCGAGAGGTTAACAAAGAAATAGAAAACTACGGCCGTATAACACGGAATTTGCCCATCATCTCAGGCAATATATTTTCTCTCCACATTGATTTTTATTCTAGCGCAAATCGGTGATCGGGAAATATACGTGGGACACCTAAAAAGTCGAATAGCCACTATTTTAGAACGTATCTTTGCGAACGCAAAAGGGTACGGCCTTCGATAATCAAAAACATGGGAACATTAATGATGTAAAAATAACACTATATAATAAATACTAGCTTTTGAAATATCTCTTCTGTTCGATTTCTTCTAGGGTACGGCATGTCGGAACCCTGCATCAAATCTTTGCATGATTGTCTGACATAGAAGCTATCACTTCCATCAATCAAATAAGGATACACAGATTAATGATATAAACTCTCTCGTACTATACACTCACTCGCTTTCTCGCCTCTATTACCACTTACAGAACTTGAGCCTCAATCGTTGTCCAAGAAGCTGATGTATCATTCAAGTTCTATCAAAAACGCAGTTGCTGTGACTCTACTTCCATTTTTACACATCCATACCGTTAAGTCGTTTCGACAATCTCATTTTCACAACGATGGAGTGATCTATGCGACTTTCGAATTTCATTCGACGTATTTGTCAGATTGTAATTTTACTCTATCATCTATCAAACATTCTCGCAATCGGAATCAGCATGATTTAAGGATGAAGCGGCGCAGGCTGCTCGAAATTGTATCACCGCTGGTTAGACGGAAAAATGAAATTAGAAGTATTTACACATTTCTGGCATCCCCATGCGCGTACTTTGAGCAAATATGCTTCCTGAGGGAACGCGGCATTTCAAATTCGTACACTGAACTGAACCTTAGCGATTCTGGGGCCGGAAAATTTGCGATGTGCTCTCTCAAATCGGCAGAAATTTGAAATTTTGCACGCTAGGTATAGCACAGAATTTCAAATTAGTTTTATTTGAAATCAGGAATACAGATGTCTGTCAGAACTATGTTTTGCATTTATTTTGGCCGATGCGGCTGTCTGCCCGAAGTTTTTTGATGTTTGTGTTCAGAATTTCAAATTAAGTTTTCCTTTTCCGTATGGATTCGAATGCGCTCGATAATTCTATCATGATGGATTGTGTATTTGAGGAATATTTTCTAACAGCTTGGGAAAGCTTAAATACGGCATGTTTTTGCAACTTGCTAGTTTTCTTGTCCCTTGAAATCAGCAATCCAGCGCTAGTAGCCTAACGTACACAATGGAATCAGGTAATGCGCGAGCTAAGAACCAGGATCATGAAAATGGCGAAGGTAAAACGTGTCAACAGATCGGTGGTGTGCCTTCCAGTGAAGAGATGAAAGAAGAGAACAATATTTCCAACCTAACAGCTAAAAATGTTTTGCAGGGATTGGGCTGGCTGGATCGATTTCTTTCAGTTTTTATTATTTTTGCAATGAGTCTGGGTGTTGTCATCGGTATTCTTGCGCCACGTGTCAGAAAACATTTGAACAAAGGGTATCTCAATGGCGTCTCAGCGCCTCTTGTCATTGGCCTGATCGTTATGATGTGGCCTATCTTAACGAAGGTGGGTTTTGTGAGGTGCTTTCTGCGAGGTACTTTGTGGTTACATGTATGCTGCCTGTCAATGGCTGAGCTCACATCTCATCCATTATTCAGGTGCCTTACGAGACATTCGGAACGACATTTAAGGATTCCAAAATTTGGTTGCAAATTTTTATGTCTTTATTGCTGAATTGGGTCCTAGGTCCTTTTTTGATGCTGGGAATAGCTTGGGCAACATTGCCAGACCTGGAAGAATATCGAATTGGCATCATTATGGTTGGCTTGGCACGCTGCATTGCTATGGTGATGATTTGGAACAAAAGCGCTCGCGGTGATTCGAATGTTTGCGCGATTTTAGTTATTTTAAATTCAGTACTGCAAATTGTCTTATATGCTCCTTACTGTATCTGGTTTATCAACGTGATATCCGGTTCTCGAGACTTTACACTGGACTATGCAAACACAGCAGTTTTGATTTACCTCGGCATACCTCTGACCGCCGGTTGTTTCACCCGTTTTATCTTCATTACCTTTGCGGTCCGCACTACCTTTGAGAAAAAATTTCTGCCATTTTTTGGTCCTCTCTCGCTTGTAGGCTTGCTCTACACTATAATCATCATCTTTGCTGAACAAGCAAGACATATATTGGACAATTTGGGGCCAACTTTTCGCACTTTTGTACCGTTAGTCTTGTATTTTGCAATCATGTGAAACGTCGCCTTATTTGCGGTATGGAATTTCAGTAGGCGTTATGGACACGTGAATTGGGACTATCAGATGGCTGTCGTTCAAGCGTTCACTGCTGGAAGCAACAACTTTGAGCTTGCCATTGCCGTATCCGTATCGGTCTATGGGCAGGATCCAATCAAGCACTCGCAGCAACTATTGGTCCACTGGTGGAGGTCCCTGTTTTATTAACTCTCTCGTGGATAGCTCTTTACGCGGGAAAATAGCTTCAATGGTCTCGAGGTGTTTGAGACATTACCAGCAATACGGCTGCGCGACCTATATCTTTGCCATCTTTTTCGACGTCATATGTATTTATATCGTCACTGTGTCATCACTTGCGCTTTCCTCGATAATGATGCAAAGTTGCTATTGCAAGCACTGTGAGAGTTGTTACTACTGCAGTTGTCTCCCGCCTCAAACTATAAGAGTGTGTGGTAGAGAAAGAGAATGGAGACGGAACGCAATCTGTTGTTTCAATAAGTATATACCGACACTTATAGAAGTTTTGATAGATCTTGCATTTTGCCTTGTTCGTTACAAATAAATCTACGCTTATCTATAATTTTTGAGAAAATACATTAAACATGGAAGGAGGAAGTCATCGTAGTATGCATTTTCTGATGAGTACTGTAGACGGCGTCAATCTCGATTAAGTACATGAAGAGGGTGTTTTTTCAAGATTGGCTCCAGGTTGATCCTTCAAACAAGTTCAACCTAGCCCGTATCTACCGATCTACAAGATGATGTTGTTTCAGAAATCGAGCTGCGTTGAAACGAGTTTGCATGGATGCAATGGATTTGTGCTTTTGGCACATGAAAGAAATTTTGTAAGCAATCGAAGATGCAAATGTGTATTTGCATCCAGTGACTAGTGCGGCGGATCAATGGAAATTTCATATTCCCTTCAGAGAGATTCGCCCTACAGCAACGCCAGTTGGAGAATTTGAAAACATAAAGAAAACTTCTGAACACCTATGCTCCTTCATCCATGTCACTGCTAAGGATACATAAGCGCTATAGTTCAAGTCGAAACAAATTCTTGTTCCCTTAAGTGAAGCACTTTGATTGCTCGTTTGCGATAGAATTCTGTCGTGTATTTACATTGATTGAGCGAAAAGACAAAGATTCCAGCGATTTGTAAAATAAAGCCAAAGATGGAGAACAAGAGGCAGAGTGAACGAAAGAAGATCTTGATCCAAACAACTGTAGAAGTATAATGCTTCTATTGCAGCAGTAAAAGCTTTGCCCACGCCTACGCGAGCATCAACGCTGAACATGTTGCGAACCCCACTCTTTCGCCAACGAAATTTGAATTCGCAACTTATCTTCGGTACGGTTGATCTGCTCCGCAAATAACAATATGTTAGTTTGTAGATGTCTTTTTTGAGGAATGAAACTATATTCTAATATTTTCTTTGCAAAAACAATATGGCCGCTCATGCTGCAATGAATGACGATAAAAAAGGAAGATAGAACAAGACTACTGCCACAAGCATGCTGCGTATACGATCGAGGTAGCAAGATTACTACAGCACGGATGAGTTTTCCAGGGTGCTTAATGTGCGCATAAATGACCGATGCCAATACTCCTCGATTGCTAGCGAATACACACTAAGGCTGATGAAATAACAGAATTGTGAATCGAGAGAAGCGTATAATAGCTGGGTAGCAACCCATTTAACCGATGATCCAGTACCAAGAAAATTTCCTGAAGGTGAGGTTTTCTCAATTTTAGAAAACAGGCAAACAGGCAAAATAAAGGCGAATAAAGCTATGATTGACATCCGCTTGCAGACAGCGAACGTCAGTAACGACAGTGAATTACTCTTATTTGTATATCTTCAATCGCTCGCCGGAGATCCAGATTAATCGGTAAGTCGATCAGAATCGAGGGCAAACGATCGAAGCTATTGACTCATACATTACAAACTTTTATATCAATAGAGTGACGTACTTTTCGGCACTTCACCGAAATACCGTGAGATCTATGGCGGGTTGAAGCTTTATCTGAAAGCTTTTGATGTGACCTAAATATGAATCAAGATGTCCAGTAAACCATGAGCGAACGATGAGAAATCGATATTTTTTTTTTTCTTAGCTCTTTCCACCACAATTCGAAACTTTTTTCATCGAAGATTATGGCAATTGCTTTTAACAGAAAGTTTGCTTCATTGCTGCTCTATTAAAGAAGCTGATAGATGTAGGTATGTGCTTTTTGGGGAACGTAAATTAGTAAGCTTTAAATTGACACCCTTTACTCGCTTTTGTTTGCACTCGTTAGAGAGCAGCAAAAAATGTCTTCAGGCATCGTGACTCAAACCAACAACTACAAGGAGCTGATCGAAGGTAAACTAACGGTTTCAGTTCAAGGCAAGACAGTCATTGTGCGCCGAAAAAATGAGGTCAAAATCATGTTACCGGTGTCAGCATAGACAAGAAAGTATTTAGGACGAGAGATAGAGAAAAAAGAGTTTGTAATCTTATAAATAAGTATTTGCCACCTTTTTGAAACTATCTCTCCTCCTGTTAAAAAATTTTGTCAAGCTTGTGTTCGGCTCTCCCTGTCCTTTGTGGGATGACACTGGTTTCTAGTAGAAGTAATCAGCCCTCTCAAAGAAGTGGGCTTGTCGCGATATTCCAATACTTCAAAGATATGGATTCCAGTTTCGGCAAATTTCCGCTTTAAAGACGTCATTTCGCGTTTCATTGCATTCGGTAGCCAGGAAGCTATCATTGCAAGAATCATTCCAAGACAGACGCTTAGGTACGATAACAGCCAGGGTGCTCCAAAGCGTACTTTTGAGCCCGAATCAGACGACGAGGAAGAGGTTCCAGCATTCTAGATTTTTCAAAGAACTTTGCCCTCAACAGGGTATTCGCAGAGGATTGGTGTACGAGGTCAAAGATGACCTACAATTTTGATTGAACGCAGATGCTAAGGATGTGTTTCCCAGATGGAACTTACCCTCAAAGACTCCTTTTTTCCATAACGATTGAAGCCAAGAGAGCCAAATCACTTGAAGAGGTCAAAACGTTTCTTCATCTTGAAAGCACAGGGAAGAGTGATAACGAAGGTATATGTTTTGATTCCCTACGCAACGCAAAAGACGGGATGCCTTCAGGAGCAATTTGGCGCTATGTTCAAGAAATGCAACGTGGAATGTGAAATCTTGACGAAAAGAATCAAGTCAACAAACTCTTATAATTCCATAGCACGCGTTTGAGGTAGAAAAGTCCAATATATCGCCAAATGACAGCGTCTTCTTCCTTGTCTTTTTTGTACCTTTAAATTGAGGAACAAACAGCTCTGTAGTAGGGATGTGACTATACATAGTATGTAGAGGTAATTCCATCTAAACATATCTCCAAGGTTCAAGGCAAGTCGATTGGGTCTTAGTCAAGACTACGAAGATGAGTTAGTGTCCTAAATAGCAGGCTACAAGAAAGACAACTTTCTTGAATACCCCGTGGACGATAAAGGATTGTGAAAGAAGAGCGCTGAAATACGTGCGTTTTCGCATCATTCTTCTAATATTGCCTCGACTTCGAGGGCTACTCTGATGGCACGTTTACACGAGCCCTTTTGCTTTAATACCATCAATCTAAGCCTGTAGCATACATATTTTCTATAAATCCAACCAAGAAAGTTACATTGAAAATTTGTATCTCTTAAAGATACGGAAGTATATTTGTTCCTGTCGTTCCAAGATTCAGATCTGCATGATCGTTAGTAGAATGTAACAAATCTGTCTTTGCTAAAAAGGGTACAAATTTCAGCAAATCTTAATTCAAGTTCCGATCAACGACCTCTTTGCTACAATAAAAAGTAGCTGGGAATTACTTTGTGAAAGGCTGCAGTTCTCATACAAGAGTGTAAGAAGATTGTTTGATGAAAACAATTTCGTTCTTCCTCTTCAATCGCAATTTACGAATTAAAATGAGACAATTTTCATCAATCAACTTTGCTATGCAATCTACATGCTAAACTATGGCAGATTTAATGAAAGATTCACTTTTATACTTTCTTTTGTTGAACGATGTCACTTTTTGCTCGTTATGATAACGTCATTTATTCAGAGAAATTAGCAGGAGCTAAATTGTTTATGTGCTCAAACTATCCGAAATCTTGCAAGAAGCTATTGACCGAGTGGCATACGGTAAACAGAAAGGACGCTCAAACCATCGTTCTTCAGAAGGTCAATAGATTAGAATGTGAGCGTCAATTGCTCTCTAGCCTTTAACTTCTGTCTTAATACTTGTGCATTCATTTGCGTGTGCTAGGCCGGTACGCCTCTTTTCAAGAAAACTCAACCATAGACCCCAAAAAGTTCAATGCAGCATTCTTTATCGTCCAACTTTTTCTGGTCATTGATCTTCGCGAGGAAGAGCGGACAGGAATTGCATGATTTGACAAGCCATTCAGATATTCTTATCATTTTTGCGGAACACTAGAAACCATGCAAAACTCACCCCAATTTTAAAGTAGAAGTTCGTGAAAATTTGAAGCACTGTTGTGCAAGCCGCCACGACAAGAAACATCCAAACAACCGAGATCTTTTTGGACGAAGCGGGACGGTTGCGGTCGCCAATGCATCTTTTAAGATGAAACGCTCAGCCTATGTGGTAAAAAATAAGGAAATAGTGACTGAAGCTTGTGAAAGGATCTTGTGGACGAAGTGTGTTTCCAAATCCGAAGCAGAAGCGAACTATCTCTTCGTTATATCATGAAGTATCATGCGATTTTGTGTGTGAACAACAAAGAATGCGCTGAGTAATATTGAGAAGATTTGAAAGCATGGAGCTTGAGGTTTCCGCCTTCGTCTTATGAAAAGCGATAGTTTGTGCGCTTTATAGTCGCTGTACCTGTCAGGTGATCACATGTCGACCTATGCTTACAAAACGCATAGTGTTGCAAATAAACTGCCGGCAGTCATCTTTCAATTGCGTTCTCGCCGGCGAAAGAGTGGAACGTCATGCTTGCAGGTCAAGATCTCTTCTTACTGTGCTTGTTCCGCATTTCTATCTTCTCTCTGACATCGAAGCTTCTAAAGTACTGATCCCGGTGGAAAGCTGTGTTTAGGACTAGTGCTGCGGAAACAGTGATACGATCGGCAGCATACATCTATACGTGTACGTATGTACCTGCGTACCTGCAGGTGAGAATGCGGAGTCGATGACCCACAAATTGGCTTCCTGTTCGGTCGGAAAGAAGCACAATTTGTTCAAGAAGAGTATGCGTGCGGTATCGCAATTACCGTTCTGATCTATGGTCGACAAAGGCAGCTAATTTTTCATTGATTTCCGTGCCTTTGCTTTAAAGGTCGTAAATATGGTCAGAGTACCTATTAGTATCTGAGCTTGCATTTGTTCTACCCACATTTTTCCTGCGTTTGCTTCTCACACCCTTTTATTTACATAATTCTGTAATTCCGACATTTTCACTCTTTTGATATAAATACAGAGATGCAAAAACGATGAAACAGATCGCAAACGCAAAAATGAGTTGTGTCTTTCCCATCGGATTCCCTATTAAATTTACTAAACGCAAAGAGTAGAAAATGGAAATCACAAAAGGTCCAGACAGACACCTGCTAAAAAACATTTTGATAAAGAGCTGTAAATACACTAGGACAGCCCCTTCGTGAAAAAAGCGCATTCGAAGAGAGGCTTTGATTGATCGATAATCTGCAATGATGTATTTCTCGTCGATAATGTTTCGCTGAAGGCCAAACCTTAGTTAAAATACCAAGTGATGCTTCTGCCATTCCTATACTGCTAATGCTTTATTGAGCAAGTAATTCATCTTCTGTTTCTTTACTTGCCATATGTACCGCTAAACCAAAAGAAGCAACCATTTGACAACAGCCGATTGGTGGCCAATGTGTAGAAGCGATCGGCAACAATCTCAGTTGATAGGTCGGACCGAAATTGCATGAGAGAAAACTGTGTTTGAATAAAGCATCTGTATCCATTTGAATAAGATGTAAGATCGCATTGGATGATTGTACAATCGTTTCCACGCTAGATGCAATCGATCCAGTCGTTGTTCCCAGAGCAGATGGAGTTGCTTGGATCAAATCACTAATGTTTTCTCGTTTGAAGCTGCATGAAGCAAGACCCAATGTGAAATCTTCAAACCAGAACAAACGATGTAAATGTACGCGACCGGCGTACAGCATCATCAACCAATCAAACAAGATCGACTGCCTTCTATTGCTCTTCCAATCTATTCTTCCTGCTGTTCCAGCCTGCATGGCAAATAAAAGCATCCCTTGTGCTTCAGCAATTATATTAGCTTGAATATTATCGGCAGACCACAGCCTTCCTTCATCCCTAGATTCACCAAAGATGGTAAATGTGCCCGCCAACAAGGATACGCTTCGTACACGAAGGTCCCAGATAGATTGCATTTTTTATCTTCTTTTGCTCTTCCTGGAAAATTTACAGTGGTTTTAAGACATAAGACATCCATTATGCTACCAATTACGAAAAGCTCCCACCATATTTTTCTTGCAAATTCCGCCTTTTCTATATCATTTGACAATGCACTGTATTCTTGACTGTCCAAATTATACAAGTTTAACGCCAATGCTGCTGTACGAGACTGTTCGACATATCTTTGCAAAGAACTGGAATGATTCATTGCATATGCGATGTAGATCATTAAGGGCAAAGCTGATAAATGCACGATTCTCTTATGTCGATCAGGTGAAAACATCAAAGATTCCATAAACTGCTCGCATCAATCTTTTGCGTTGCATCTTTTCGCATCATTGTACATGTCCAGCTTTCGTGCCCTTCGTAAAGTTCATTTCCAAGTGTGGCAGCTGTATACAATAAGGCATCACAGTATTGCGCCTGCTTCATCAGCTCCTCCTTGCAGTCAAAGAGTGGCAATGTAAGACCGACACCAGAGAAGAAACGTGATATACCTTGTTGCAAGATGTCATTTATCGATATTGTAGAAGCAAGGCTTTCTTGACAGGCGAAGCATCATGTATCCATTTTTGTATTTCTGCCATTTTGTGAGCGGGTGAATGCATTTGTTGTGATCCAGTCGAAAAAAAAAATGCTGATTAATCATGTAATATGAAATCGCTATCGAAGGGATTAAAGATCATCCTCATCGAATCATCGGAGAAAAGTATGCAATCTAGTGTTGAATCATCTTGGCTTAGGCTGGTGTCGTCTTCATTATCACTACTTTTTTGTTGGTGTTGACTATCTGGCGATAATTTTCGCTTTTTGATCGGACGTCCATTACGTTGGCAAGGTTTCCACATGCATTCTAGGTGTAGTCTAGCACATCGTGAACAATCCGTCTCAGCAGGAATCTCGGTCGAAGTATCTGCAATTTTTGATCTGGTAGCAATCATGCTTGGTATAGGTCCATCACATTTACATTACCAGCAGTGCTACATGAAATATCTCCGCGGATTCTCTTTTGGCATGTGACTTTACAATTATCTTGGCTTCTTCCACCTTTTTCAGATACAATTAGCCGTCAAAGCGTAGAACACTGAATGTGGTGTGTTGCTTCTTGAAAGCGTATAGAACTTGCCCAAAGGTACGTCTTATAGATTCGTTTCCGATGCTACACGGGGATTTCATCCATCGAAGTCACGCACACAATAGTTTCCTTTCTCCTCCTCATTGAACGATGTGCTAATGCTCATACCGTAATCTTGCTCTTCTCCCTCCACTGCGGTAAAGCTGAGCATGTCCACAGATGTTTGAAAAACTTTAATTTGGATCAATGTCAACGAAATGACAGCTACAGATGACGTTGCTCACACTTGGTGACTCTGTGGGAGGACTCTTTATCGCTCACAATCAATCGTAAGGATAGATGCTCACGCGTGTCAAACTGTAGAGTAGTATCCCTTCGAAAGAAACCGAGAAAAGGCTAAAAAGGACATGCAGGGAAACATTGTGACTACACGCTTCTCAGATTACCTGATCGGATCTTGGAACAAAAAATCAGCCAAAAGTTCCTGTCGGCTACATGTCTTATACATATCCATCCAAATTTGCCTTCCCCTGTAAAAGAAGGATTCCCTCAACTCTGCGGCCCTGCACCTGAAATGCAGCAACACACACGCACACCAACACCAATCTGCGCCATCTCTATGATAAGAAATGCAGCAACACACACGCACACCAACACCAATCTGCGCCATCTCTATGATAAGACCTGTGAGTAGTTCTCGCGGCTCGCGCGGGGTGATACGACATGTCGGATAATCCACACGCTTAGACAACTTGTTGATCACGATGGGCTTGCGTCGAAAGAGAAGGGAAAAAAATAGATTTTTAGACCGAATTCAAAGTTTACTTAACAATCCAGTTTATCTATTGTTTTGTTTCATTGCTCCAGGCAACGAAATAATGCGGACTAGCTTTAAGCTCCGGAATAGCTCCGGAATCTTCATTTGGGTTTTAATGTATGTGTAGACTACAAGCCACAGAAGGAAACCTCAAAGTGGTCAAATCTTTATCGCAATAAGAAGGTAAGATTGCAAACCGACAATGGACAGTACGTCATATCGAATCTTCTAAAACCGCTACAAATTCTTTTGTTTCTAGATGCTCTGTTATCTTTCCCCCGTCTTCCAGCGCAGCGTGAAGAACGGTCTTGACGCTGCGCTTTTGCTCTTGCTTATCTCTTTGTAGGTTTTAGGGCTCTTACTCTGCTTTGATCGATAAAGACATTTGATAGAAGCGCACGCAACAGAATGATTTCAAGATGTCAATTTACATTCCTTCCAAATCAAAACCTCGGCGATTTTTAATGGAAAGAAAAGTAAAAGACTTAAAAGAAAGAAGCAGGCGTTCATAATTCAGATAAATAAAATGAGCATCAGTCGCAAATATTGAGACGTTTCGATATTGAACTCAATAAATTGTTATTTCGAATTTACCTTTTGCCAAGAATTTGGCTCAGCGCTTCATGTTATCTATTACATGTTCGTCAGTATGATATCTTTCTGTCTTCAAGCCTTATGGCAAGATGTTTTTGGTTTGTTAAGATCCGACATGGCCAATGCATTCCCTACGATACAATCTATGAGCGAACTATGCTAATGAGAGATCGATAGGTGGGACAACCTGTTCTTATGTAAGAAATGATTTATTTTGGTGAACTTTTTCTTCCAACACAATCACAAACCAGTTTCATAGCAAAATGCAAGCTGAAAATCAAATTTCATCGCAAACTGAGTAAAGATTTATTTCAGAAGAAGAATAAAATGGAGGAAATCTCGAAGAAGCAACATCAGAAGAACGTTTGATACATTTCACCTGGGCTTGGTTTGTTGTTCCAATGAGTACTGGTAGTTTTGCGTCACTTCTTGGTCTTACAGCCATATCAATTTAAAAATTTACGTACGATTGGTAAGGTTGTTTTTATATGGAATTTGGTTTTATGCATTATGATCACTTTACTTCTTCTTCAACGTTTTTTACATTGTAGAGGCTTATTTACAAGATCGATCAGAAATCCGGGTGAAAGTTTGTTTATACTAACTTCTTTACTTACAATTGCAACGATAAAAATGTGTACCCAAATTTATGGAGTACCATCAACTGGTGATTGGTTAAAGATTGTTTTACAAGTTATATTTTAGATTTAAACTATCATGGCTTTTACGCTTTCCATTGTTCTATATTGACATTTATTTACAGCTAAACAATTTTTGATGGAAAGTATGTTACCAACTTGGTTTTTACCAGTCTTTCTTTCAATGCTTGTTGGCACGATTGCTGGTCCAATTTGTCAAACTCAAACGCCAACAAGTGCAATGAAAATTGTAGTGGCTCGCTTGGCTTTTCAAGGTCTTGGTTTTTGGTCTATAACGCCATTGTCTGGTATATTTATGACCCGGCTATTGCAGTGTGGTCTGCCATTGCCAAGTATGCGTCCCGGTAAGTTCTGTTTGTTATATGTATTGTCAATCTATCTTCTTACTGACTTCTCATGTTGTTATATCCAGGAATGTTTGTTGCTGCTGGACCTCCATCATTTACTGCTATCAAATGGGAATTATTACCATTTTCGACAGGTTTAAAGGAGTGTACCGTAACACTGTTGCTGCGTTGTCCAGCAGCTTCCATTATGCAAAAGACCCGAACCGCGATTTGACTGCCTTGTTCCTTCATCTCACGAATGCAAAGCATGCCACTCTGAACGAGACTGTCAATCTTATCGTAAAAGAATTCGTCAACATCGATCAGCGACGGCTTAATCGGATGATCAAGGGTTGCAGCAATATTTAAGAAGCCATTTATTTCTGCTCTTTTAGAAGTAGCAGCATGCGGAGAGCGCCAAAGTGAAGTATTTGTAGAAGGCTCGGTGAAAGGGTATTTTGAAGTAAACATGTTATCCATCAGTAAAGCATCTGTAGAGCCTAAAGGGTCTCCCATGTTCTTGCTCGCAAAGGTGACACGAAATGCGCTAAAGATCTGGTTGGAGTATCTTGTAGACGAGAAGATGCAGGATCCAGATTTAATGATCTTAAGGCTGTCATTTAGTAAAATAAAACAAGTTTCTGTCAGTCACCTGTAGTGGTGCATCATCATCGATAACAACTCACAAGATGCAACTGAGATTCAACATATCACAAGCACTGTGAAAACTTGCTCGTCGTAAATGTCTTGGGGCGGAAGAGGAAGTGAGAAAAGGTAGAAAGACAACAGAACCAATGTACCCGCAAGCGGTCCTCCACTCAATGTAGGGTTGTATCACATCCGTTGTCATTTTTGATAGATCCAACAAAGTCGTCGGACTGGCAACGCCAAAACGTTTGAAAATAAGCAGAAGACCATAAATCATCTCCCTATCTAGTGTAAGAGCGTATTCATCAATGACATGCATATGTTGTTCGATGCTATCCATAAAGGCAAGTAGTCCACTGGCCGAGAAGCATCGTGTCCGATTAGCAACGTGGTGATACTTTTCTTTTAAAATGACTGAGAGAAATCACGCTAGTTTGAAACAGCACAAACAAATAACAATTAGAGGGCTCGCCGTCTCTTTCTTCAGCGTTGAGTTTGTCTTTTTCGGATATAAAAGTATAGGCACACTCTATCCGCAACCGGCTAATTTCTCTTGTCTTGACGGCGGCAGGGGCGCTGAGAAAATTTTTAGCGTGAAAATGATGGACTAGCGTTAAAATGATGGACCAGCGTTAAAATGAAGACTAAGAAGTCATGAGGTCTAATGATGGGCATAAAAAAGATATCTTTTCAACGTAAACCCCACTTACCGAACAAATTATAAAAACACGGCAAACTTTCTATTCTTTTTATTATTCATATCATCTGATGACATTCTATTCATTTATAAAAAATAAATGGCTAAACTTTACTGAATTCACTGAAGCAATTTCAGAAGAAGCCAGTGCAAGAAAGTTAGAAGCGAAAATGACAAAAGAACAACAAAAACGAAGAACTGAGTTGGTAAATTCGATTCACTTAGCAGCCTCTCGAGCTCATTTTTCGAATGATTAAACGGTCGTCAAACATTCATTCAAAGATAAGTTTTTAATCGAACCTGAGTTATATCAGTACTCACGTAATCGAGGTACCATCTATTTAGCAAAATGAGATTCAGGACGTATACGGATCATATTTTCAGAAGGAATAGGCAATCAAGCGCATGCAAAACGAGAAGAGATTATTGGAGGTATGTAAGTAAGACAACAAACCTGGATGTGTTCATCAGCATCGGTTGAATTACGGGATGAAGGGGAAGAATTTATAATTGTTGAACGAGCACGAAAGCGAGGCTACAATATGAGTATCATCATCACAATGACTGTACTTATCTTTTTGAGTTCTTTACAGGCTGTCACTACTGCCAACATACTAATTAAAAAAAGGATTGACCATAAACCCAACATCATCGATACTTCTCACCATATCGACAGACACGTTCAATTGTTTTCAATGTCTTCAAACATCAAATCAGAACATTTACATGACATTTCTATTCCTCGTCATCAGGCAAAAGGAATGTGGCTACCTTCGCATCCTATCACGCATTTGATACGCAAGCATGCCAATTCTGTGACAAAGACAAAGATCCCTGACCGAAAAGATGTTGATAAAACAACAAATTCAAGTCTCAAAGCATGGATCCAAAGTCCCGCTACATTTTCTGGTTCGCTTTCAGATAATCTTGCTATTCTCACTAAACACGGTTACGATATTGAGCCACTATTAGAAGACGTCAAGTTCATGACTTTAAAGAGTAGTAGTGAAACAAATGATGTAACATATGACATGAATGAAAAACGACTTGCTCCTCTTTTAGTTAAAGCCCTTTTGGTTGGAGCAAATGTCATTCTTGGTGGCTTGATTGACCTTGGCTGTACAGTTGGAGCGCAATCACTTGGTTTTACGGAAACTGCCAAGTACTTATGCATTGGTGCAGCTTTCCTGTTTGCCAGTTTAGGATCATGGGGATCGCTTTATACCCGTGCAAGACTGGTTCAAGCAGCTGCTAATCCTGTAAGTCAAAATGCAGCAGAAATTGCTATGGGGAGTATTTCTGTTGCTCAAGGAACGCTAGGAGGACGTGGTTCGAATAATCGTTTGTGGTTCGAAGATAATTTAGTATTCTTTCAAGAAGCATATGAAAAGTCTTTAATGATCGATGATGAAATGCTGAATGAACGGGATAAGCATTATGATAAAAATATCGGTCAATCATTATCTGCATGGGATATAATCATAAGCCATATTTATCCAATTCAACTTGTCATTCATCCTGGCTTCAATCCTTCTTTTTGGTATGAGAGTGATGTCGATAGAATGAGACATCATGGTTTCGTTTCATTGCGTAATAGTCCAAGCGAAACAGATTTTTGGCAATCATTTCACTTTTGGTTGGAATTTGCAAATCAAATCAAATTCTACCCTTCAACTTCGTCAATGCGAATCAACTGATGCGGAAATTGATTATAACGAAGATCCATCTGAAACTTATTGCGAACAAGGTCAATCGGTTGTTCCAGAAGGCGTTTATATGTCTTACGAATTATTAAACACATCCGAAGAACAGGATGATAGTGCGCATTTACGATTAGGTAATGATTCGTATGCATTCGAGAAAGCTAAACTGGACGGTATGCTTGCTTATTTAGGAGGTACTTCAGCCGTATGCGAAGGTATTCAATATAACGATCAAAGAATGGCATACAGTGTCATGCAAGTAGCCTACGCCAGCGACCCTGTGGCTGGCTTTGATGCTTGCGAGAATAATCAATAGCGCATGGTGAACAATTGTACTCAATCTAATCTAGTTACTTCTCTATTCATTATCATTCAGTAACGTTTACGATCTTGGATTCATGCATAATCGTGCTCTTTATTTCAATCTTGGACCATTTTCACATCATTCAATTTTCTCGATCCTTGCACCTTTAGCTTATCGAACCATGTACAGACGGTTGGCATTTTGCCAAAAAGATGGGAATGTCTGGACGTCATGAAGGAATGAATCCAGAAGAATAATTAACGGACGATGAAGTGAAAAGAGATGATGCACATTTTCTGGCAAAGTGATTCCCTTATTTGCATTGCATTTCATGATTCCTTTTCTTTATTGTATCACTCACTTATACTATCGCCTGATACCCTTTCGCAATATCACAAAGTTTACAGTATGATTGAACGATTAATTAAATTGCAAGACGCAATGAAAAGTTATTGTACAATGTGGGATATGATTACTAATGATGCACAACAAGCTCTTTGCTTGCTTCTGCATCTTCATATCCTCCAAGTTTTTTCTTTCGTGCATGGCGTAAACGACGAAAAGATGCAAAGGCAAAATAAATGCCAAAAGAAAACAAGAAGAAAATGACAAGGAGAGAGAGAGAATGTTTCTTAATACTTTCAATTTGTTGACCAACACGTAAAATTGCTTTTGCATCACCTTTATGCCAACTACTTGCACCGAGATGTTCGAAAAGAGGAGTTTTAACGTGACCATTTAATTTATTGGCTTGGTCCATTATTGTTAAAGAAGGTTGATCGCCGTACAGCCTATGCATTGTACTTAAAAAGTGACAACCTGTCGAAAACATATTTGTTATATAAGGTGAATTAAACGAATTTCGATTAAAAGTGATTAAATATTCTTCAACGTGAGACCAAAAAGGATGATCGGGTATTGAAGGGATGAAAGCGTTATTGACTCCGCTTGGTTTTGCAGGAGGAGTTAAAAAACTTTCATTTCGTAAACCGTCCAGAGGTGTTCTACAACCTAAATCTAAATCTAAATAAATTCCACCAAATTTATGCAAAACCAAATAACGTAAAACGTTTGAACGTTGGATTTCAAGTGGATAATTTATATATGTTTCGAATAAATTTGGAAATTGTGTATTAACAAACTTTCCTGATTCTTCATCTTCCCAAAGTTTAAATTGCCAATCAGGATGTAAATCTATACAACTCTTTCTTGCTTCTATCCATTTTGGTTGCATTTTCAAATTTCCTAATTTAACTTGATGAATAATTTTTGGAAATCTTTGTTCATTTAAAATTTTGAAAAGAGATTCTTTGCTTCTTGATTGTATGCCCTCTGGAGTTATAACGATTGTATGTGTATTAGCCATGTGTGGAGACCAAGCTGTGTACTTTTACCCATTGCCGCCAGTAGAAGTAGCAGACCAATTAGAAATACCAATGTTTCATTAATAAGTGGAGCTACACTAAACACAGTAGAGTAATCGAAGTTTCCCACTGTAAATAGAAGAGCAAAGAATGCTACTGAAAGATTCATATCTCCTACGGGGCTGACAACAAGTGTTTGATAGCACTTTTATTATTTGCTTGAATTCGTTTAAACCAGAAATTAATAAGTAGATAAGAAAAAATACCAATTCCTTCCTAACCTACAAACATGATAAGACAATTTTCTCCTGTTACAAGAATTAGCAAGAGGAAAGTATATATAGACAGATAGAGAAGAATCGTTGATGATGCGGATCTACACTCATAAAGTCAATCGAAAATACATGTACAAGAACAGAAACAAGAACAGAAACTTTAGTACCGGAAGTAGCTTTAATACTGTCCGGTTATCAAATAGAAAATCCCATGAAACATCCATGATTTCAAAATCCATCCAGCTTCCTAGATAGATACATACTGAAAACCCAATTAGAGCTACTTCATAAAAGGCGACAATATATAGAACAGTCACCGGCCGTCACCATGCTGCCTTTCGTATGGCTCAACAGGCAAAATGGCGCTCATGTATTTCTGGCAATTCCTGTTCTGCGAACCTCCTCGATTTATGTGAAGTACGAAGCCATATCCAAATCTAAAACAAACTTCCTCCAACATTTTTACTCCATGAAATTCGAAAGTACAAATCAAATCCTTTGAATTGATCTTAAACTTCTTCGAAATAGTGTAACTTCATTTGTTATCTAGTGGTTTTATCTCTTTTTATGTACTCGATAATCTGCATCCTTAATTTTTTCGATAATTTTTTTTTTTGTAAGCCCATAGTCTCCTGATAGATCCCGGGGTATTTGTACAGCGACTCCATCTATGCTTGTGTGTATGGGGTGTGTGCTTATATATTAATAGTCATCAGATGAAGAGAGCAGATTATAAAATGAACGCACACGAATTCCGTGAGTCCAATATCGTCTTTGGGGGTATCGATATTGGCATAATCATCAAGCGCCTTTACAACAAACTAATTGGCCCTGGTGCACCGGGCATGGATCCAGCAGTGGTCACAAGAGTAATCGTCTGAGATCCGCCCCATAAGACGGGATACTAGCTTCATTGAGTCGTCCTTGCGCTATTAGCGCACTGTCGGCTATCGCATTTCAGCATGTATGGGAATTCGCGATCCATTTTGTCATCACAGATATGATCCACCACACTCTCAAAAGTCACTCTCATAACGTTGGCTTCAGCTTCAATCATGTGGTAAAAATGAGTGCCAGACGAAAAATTTCCCAGTACATCTCTTGCACTACACTGAACTTGTTTATTTCTAATTGTTCGATGAAATACTTGCGACCGAGGAAATGCATTCCCAACCGCCTTCAACCCCCCTTTGCTCGTCACGCACTGGTCGCCTGCTTTTGCAAAGACAACGTGTCTGTAACGCGCTTAATTCTGCCTAGGGAAGCGATGCTAGATCTGTATGTTCGTCTAGACGCAAAGTGCGGCAAATTGCGAAATTCCAGGTGAGCGTCGATTGGGCAATAATGATCAATAGCATATGATTAGTTGCAATTTTTAAAACCTAGCACACATAACTATTGAACGGACAAAGCAAAGAAGTTTCAGGCAGGGGAAAGTTTTGGGGAGATTCCACCAACACTTTTCAAGCAATTTATTCAAAATTTGTCGCTGCCGGAAGATGTGACTTCGTCATCACCTCGGATACGCTAAGAGTTTTGTCGATAGCACTTGAGGAACGTGGAAAGTCGTTGGAATTTCATCCAAAAATTAAGGCTTCAATACAGCTACCTAAAACAAACATTTAGTCATACTTTCCACCTTTTATGATCAGAGGGCCAGCCAAGCAAGTCAGCATTCTTTGATTTTTTCATTTATTTTTTTTGCTCCATTGACGCTTCTCTGGTATCTTGTCCACTTCTTTTGTGTATCCAGCCGATATTCCCTATTACATTGTAGGCGTTTGACTAGATGTAAATATGTCTGATTAGAGGGAGGCGTGACAAGCAAATACACTTTAGTAATCGCTGCTTTGACATGAAAGATTGCCATCCCGGGAGACAAACCTTCATTTTTTTATGCATTGGTCGTTCACTTGCTTTTCAATCCTTCTACCTCTTTATCGTCCGTGTAAGTTGCTTAATGTTTAATGTACATCAGAAAGTAAACTTTTCAGTCTGAACGCCAGCTTTTTTCATTTCATTCTACCTTCCATGCTTTTTGTCACGAATTTATACCTACAGGGAGGACTTGTTTTTGCATTTCTTTAGCTTTCTCAATGAACTGTTGGCGCGAGATATTTAGAGCATTTGTGCTTGCATTGGTATCATGGCTGGAAAGATTTGATGCTTTCTCTAACAAAATAGCTAGGAAAAGTTCCTTCATAAAAGCAAACGTCCACCCAGTCGTAAGCTCTGCGAGCTCTGTGGTGAAATCTTAGAAGTCTTCTTCATTGACGCGGATCTGCGCGAACCCTATCTTGTTCTTCAACCAGTGTGAGAAAAATTCTTTGCGAAGATTTTGATTGGGGAGATCAAATGTGTATTTGGTGTCAAAGCGGGAAGGACGCTGCAGGATAGCTGCATCTAGCTTACTAACATCGTTCGCGGTCGCTACAACCAATACACCGTCGTTCGATTCAATTCCATCCAACTGATTCAAAAGCTTTGTTCGCGTCTCATCTGTCGCAAGGGTTTCGATGTCTTCCAAGACCAACATACAAGGGGCTTCGCTTCTCGCTTTCTGAAATATAGCGGTCAAGCCATACTCTGGGCCAGCACGTGTCTTTGCGGTCTGTACGTAAAGCGTGGGGATGCCTATCTCGGCACATGTTTTGGCTAAGATTTTGATTGACCCAGTCTTGCCGTTTCCCGGTGGACCTAGCAGCAGTATTCCGCGTTTCCATGGCACTGCTAAAGATTCGTACAGCGATTGACACTTAAAGAAGGCGACTGTGTCGCGACGAAGATCTTTCAGAATAGAGTCGGATAAGATCAAGTCTTCTGCTTTTGCGCTTTGTACTGCTTTGAAAAATGCTTTATCTTTCCTCCAACCTCCTTTTACTCCATTAAAAACCCAGAATTCATCGTGCAGCTGACTTGCCCACTTGTGAACTTCAGCTACTAGCGTCTTCCCTTTTCTTTCGTCGTCTTGCCAGGTGAAAATGAAGATCCTATTTTCCATGCCAGAAGGCAATTGGTAAGTAAAGATGTGGAGTTCGAAATCACAATCGTCAAAAGTGAACGTCAGACAGCCGTTCTGAAGCTCTTCTTCTACATCGCTAGCCGTAATGTGTGCATGGTCGCCACGGCCAGTAATAACACTATGGCCGCCCGTCTGAATAAAAAAATTTGGCTTGACTTCCCTGGGCAATACCTTCGCATGGCAATGGTTCTGCTTGTCCAACAAAATATTATCTATTGAGATCTCACGTGCTTTAAGGAAGTCTATAATGGGAAAGTTTCCACCGCAAGTATTATCGCGAACCGCAAGAATTTCTTGTGGATGTTCTGAATCGCACAAAGCACTCCATAGCTTGAAAGATGGTGCTTGAGGTAAATCAAAAAGATCTGCTAGAATATTCTTTTTATGAAGCATGGTAAATGAGTGGAAAATGATGATTGCGGGCAAATTAGACGGCAATTGGAGGTTGCTTTTATAGTTTCACAGCTCACTGCAGCACAATAGTAACTGTTTCAGAGATCACCGCACAGCACCCTGCTACTCTATGGAAAGAATTGTCTAGTGCATAGAGAGTCTCATCTCGAAAATAGAATGGTTTTAAAATCAAGATTTTCTATCCCGAAATTAGAAAGCTGAGTCATAGTTTTACTTATTTGGCAGACAATAATGATATGCTGAGTCGCAATTCAATCTCAATATTTGTCATTAGGAGCTGAGCATGTTTTTAAGACTTGCCTGCATTTGCCAGGCAAAATGAAGATGCTAAGTACGCAAGTCTCAAAAAGTAAAAACAGCCTCATAAACTCGATTGGAAGGGCTCCAATTTCATTCCGAGGCATGTGAGCAAATGCATTTGGCTAGACTTTCCTTCTGTTACATTTTCCGGATTAGCACTGACGTCATGTGTCGGGATATTCCCTCTTTTGCTTGTAAATATGAGGCGAGACTACGGCGTACTTCTATTTCAATGCTGAGCAACGCTCAGCATTGTTGAATCGATTGGAAAAAGTAAGGTTATTCTACTTCTTCTATTTCTCCTCATGTATGCACAACCACGTCTACTGATTCTATACCTTCAGTACCAGAAGAGTGGAACCACAAAGGTACTGAAGGTGGAACCACAAAGCTGGAAAAGAGTGGAAATAAACGCTTGTAGTGATCTTTTGCCCAAATTTCATCATCTCGGGAAGGGCGCTTTGTTTTACAGAGGCGCTAGCGGAAATCCAAGGTTGCCGGAAGGGCCCAACACCAGAGGCATAGTAAAAGCTAAAAGGTCATCAGTACTAAAATCTTTTAGGCAAAGCACGGTCGCGACACCTTCAAGCACGGGTCTCTGATACGTAAAATAAACTGTTTTCGCAACACTATGAAAAAGCATCAAAAAGTTCCAATGACTTCCACGCAAAATCATTTGAGTTCTACCCAGATAAAGCTGATGAAATGAAATGTAATCAAATAGGATTGTGCAAAGGAAATTATGAGATCCTAAAATTGTTATAAGCTAGCCCGGAGAACTCCGAAAGTCATCTCGCAGACATCAACATTTCGCAGACATCGATACATTTCGATACCGCGCGCGAGTTTGCTGGGATACAAATCTGAGCAAGCTACGTAGGATTCTAGACCAGCATCACCATAATCAATGACAACAGGCATTTGAAACCAGTGACAAAATGTCATTTTTTTGGAAGAATGACTTCATCAATTAGAGAGAGTAGGGACAGAGAAGATTTTCCATGGAGAAAGAGACTATGAGAGACAGTAAAATGTAGACGAAAACGCTAAACTTACTCCTTCAGGGAAAGTTGAAACATGCAACACCACGAAAAAGTGCGCGAGCGAACTAGAAGCAAATCAAGGTCTGTTGATGTTCATCTTGGAAAGTTCATCTTTACAATATATCCCCAATAGGGAAAGCGACTCCATAGATATTTTGTCCATTCTTTTGACGGTCAAATCTTCGCATTCGGCTAATGTTTCTACTCCAATGAGGGACCCCATATGAAAAAATTTTCTCGCCCTTTCAAGCCGCTTCAGTATGGAGTACTCATTGGATCGCTTACAGAGCTTGAGCAAGTGTGCTTGGACAATAGGATATGCCTCACGATGAAATGTCTTTGACGTCACTGGAGCATCAAGAGTCGGCAGGAGCTCGAAAATCCATCGAGCATATGCTTGACCCAGGTGAAAGTACGCAAGTCTTACCTTCTCGCGAGCCTGAGAAAAGTCAATTTCTGCCTTTGATAGCTTCTCCAAATGCAGCTTGACAAGTTCACCTGCACTTTTTTCTTGCCCTTCTTCTAGTCGCAGGGGTCTATCAGCCTCTCCAGTGCTTCTTGCATTTCCTGTCTTTATTAACTTCGTCAGCATCTCAAGAAGTTTGAATGCTCTAATTTTTTCTGCTTCTTTAGATGAAGTTGACATGGGATCTGCAAGTGCTGTCCGCTTACGTTTTCTGGGATTCGCATTTTTTTCTACAGACCTGACACAAATCTACGAAGAGGCAGTCAGATCGCTTGTCTGCTCTGTTTTCCTTCACCAATACTCACCTCGTAAGAAACACCTTGGTACTGGATAATAATGGCGGGAATCTGATGCAGTTTCAGGAGGTCTCCTTGGATTAGTGCCTCACAGAATGCGCGATACATCAATGCCACTTTGTTCGGTGTGTGTAACCCATCTGCTGCTTGAACATACGCAGCAACAGATGTCACGAGATTTTCTATCCCACTGGTTTGATAAAGTGCTTCTTGTCTAGGAAGGTAGACGCGCGTGGTCATACTGAAAAGGATCTGGTTGGAGGAGATGATGGTAATTTAGGTTCACCGATCAAGCAGGGTGCTTTGAACAGAATTCCCTTTTATATCGCGAATTTATATGTGAGTGCGTTGCTGTGGAACTGAACTATACTTCGCAATCAAAAATGGAGAGTGCGGCACAAAGGAATATCAAGCCCCGATGTTTTTGCACAAAGGGATATTAAAGAAAAAAAAATGGCGTTTTGTGTTTCCTCAGCTTGTATTGTCCAAAAGCAATACCCTTTCCGAAACAAAGGGAGAGTATTGTACACCCAAGGGAATGGTGAACCCGCGCTTAGCGTGTCAGTTCAATCGCTGCTCAGTGAGGCATTTAGTTCTATTCGTTTCAATTTTGGTTGCATAGACAAAGGGAGCCAGCCGTGAGAAATTACGAAAAGTCTGTACAGAGTCATAGACTTGAGAGTTGGCAACGATTGTACTGAGTTTTACAAACATTTTACATTTGCCAAAATTAGACATGTCGATAGCTAAGCTGAGCACCGTTTTGATAGTTTCACTGCCTTTAAAAGTCAGTTCGTACGGAATGACGGCACTTTTGCTTTCTAATTACAACTTTTGGACCCCGATGAAGAGTGTAATGGAGATCAGTGCAACTTCAAGATGCCCGTGTACAACTTCATGCCCATTATGAGGATCTGATACATCTACTGCCAAATTACGCGTAGCAGAAAATTTTACGGATCCAACATAAATCTAATCTTTCTGTCCATCCAGGATCTAATCATGTCACACCTATCAAAACTCTAATCAAACAAGCGCCGATACTTTTCGCTACACAATATGTGACAAAAAGTAAAGCAGATGTTGGAATTCATAAACTATAAAAAGACCCTGCTTTGAATTAGACAAATTTTGATGTAAAAAACAGAATCCCTGCTCAAATGGACAGTAAAAAGTTTTGTCTCATTTCTTGCATAGGCGAGGGTGCTTTTGGGATAGTGTACCAAGCAATCAACCTCCAGACAAATAATGTGAGTAATCTTTCACACTGAAGGTTTCTTTCTGTCTCATTTTCTTTCCAATCTTTAGAAAGTTGCAGTCAAATGCATCAAAACAAATCAAGCACTTGGTGCTCTGGAAAGTATGAAAAAGGAAGCAAACATTCACTCAAAGCTAGAACATGTGAATATTGTCGCATTTAAGAGTTTTGTACTCCAGAAAAACTTTTTACAATTGGAGTTAGAATTATGCGAGCAAGGCACTTTATGTGATTTTCTCTTTTGCAAACAAAATATGTGAGTGATGTAGTGATAAAAATAATTGGGCCAATTGAATTGAGGCTTTTTTCTTTTGATTAAGCGATCCTACCATTAAGAACAATATTTGCGCCCAACTTTGTTCGGCTGTCCACTTTCTTCATGAAGGCGTTTTAGCAGATGACGCTGTGATTCATCGGGACATCAAATTAGAGAATGGTGAGGAAAAAATCTTCCAGCGTATTATACGCAGCCTCATTGACCCTCTTTTCTTTCATGCAGTTCTACTCACGCGGGGAATGCAGATAAAACTCGGTGATTTTGGACTTGCTATCTCAAAGCCCCGTGATAATGTTGGCAGATGGGGAATAGCTGGAGTGAGTCTAATATGGATTTTCAGAACCGATAGTTTATTGTGGTTGACAATTATTCTTTTCCCCTCCCCGATGTAACTTTCTAGACAAAAGATTATATGTCGCCTGTGCGTATCTTTCCGAGTCTTTCTAATATTGCCCATCACTCTTATTTTTTCTTTCAAAAATTCCAGGAGTTGATTCGTGGTCTCAAGTATGGAAAAAAAACAGACTTGTGGTCACTTGGTATCTTACTTTACGAGATCTGGACGTGGCGGTAAGCATTTTCAGAGAGACTTTGAATACAAGGGAAAATCTCACCTTTTTGTTTTTACAATTTTACAGTGTTTTTCAATGGTCTGAAGGCACATCACTTGAAAGATCGATTGCCATTATGCTTTCTCAGCCTTTGAGCAAAGATGTAACTCAGGTGCTGGCGCTATTTCTGCAAATAGACGTGAGTATGAGAATTATGTTTTCACGCTTCACGCTTTCTGCTTACATTCTACCTATTCTCCTTCATCGAAAAGCCTATTTCACGACGCGAGGCAAGTACGCCCTTGGCATTTTCATGGATGTTGGAAGCTTTGATGAACAATCAT